AACTTGAAGGAACAACGCATCCGATGCGTTTGTTGCGCCCGTACCTCTCCGATTTGCTTGGCTGATGCCAAGCTACATATTTCTTCCATGGGGAACCATGTGGGAGGGGCTCTCGCGGTTGCATATGCAGGGCGTGTGCGATTGATCCGTTTGACTTTGTGGACAGACCCTCGTGCATCCAGTGTCGTCATTATATCCCCTAAAAGGATCGACCGACTCGAAGTTCCACAACCTCAGTGATGGCGGTGATGAACTGTCGAGAGGCCTTTCATTCCCGCTCTTTTCTCCACTGGTTTCTGTGCTGCGGAGGCTCCATTCACTGGCTTCGTTTTCGGGGTCTCGTGGGCATGTGGTCGGTATGATCCGAGGCGCGATGACACAATGGCGGGGTGTGACTTTGATGCTTGCTCCAGAGGCTCGGATCCAAGCGAGCTTGGCGCTCGAATATCGGGGGTGTATGCCGATCTGCTGATAGATATAATTCTGAGTCGTGAGGGGGAGACGTGGGAGTCTGTCCGGGGTTGGCGTTGTGGCGGAATGCTAGTATGACCCTCGTCATTGTTGAGACTTAGGGAGTGACCTTCTTTCGACGGGATGAACGGTCAGTTTCAGGTTCCCGTATGCCTAAGGATTTCTATCATAATCCATTCCACTGCGAGTAACCAACACTCGGCTTCCCTCGTGCAGAGCAAAAGCCTAGGGGTTCGCCTCAGGCTGCTGCACGAACTCTGCATCAGACACGTTGAGAAGACCTTGAAAGCAGGCAATTCTCGTCAAATACCGCTCGATTGGCTTTGAATAACTATATGAGTTCAAGTTTAATAAATACTAGTTCCATATTTGACCTTCAAGTCAGCTTGGGTCTCAGCGGATGTGAGCCGGTATACCGTCGCCTTGATTTTTCCTACTGGTCTTCAAACTTGTTTCCAAGGTTTCTCATGAATTTCATTATCTCGTAGTATGATGTGCAAGAAGTATTTACAGAGACTTCTAGTCGAATTCGCAGCTCTTCTCTGGAGGACTTCAAATTTGAGACCGGTGTACAACCTCCAGGGCTGTTACTAAATATATAGTACCTAGGTAATCGACCGTCTGCTTCAAGCTTGAATAATAAACTTCAAATTTTGAATGGATTCCAAAATTCCAAGGTTTAAAGGGTCAAGTTTCTCTACTACTAGTAGTAGTATCAGTTCGGAGTATCTGCTAGCGGTTACTCTTAGGTATCGATATTCGTGTGTTCAAGTGCAGTAAGTTCAAAGTTCCCCGACAGGATTGAAGTACCCTAGGTAGTATTACCCCGAGATAGGTACCTTGTGGGAAAGCTCGCTACTAAGGTATACGCCACTAGTATCGTTGTAGATCATCTTCTTTAGACTTTAAAGAGGGACCTTGCTGGGGCTCATTTCACTTAAAAATGCTTCAATCCCAGGTCCAAATGGAGACTCTTCTGGCTTACGCCTTACGATCTTCAGTGTTGGGTTAGGGCCACCTCAGCAAGAGTGCCCCGACAAGATATCCTAATCCGAATTATACAGTTTTGAGAAAACATGAAAGTGTGGCACAACATGGCAGCGTTGATGAGATACTCTTAAGGAATTACAATCAAAGCAACTGGAAGAGGCAAGTGAACAAGCTGTCCCCCACCACCTTCGGTACAACACAAATTCTCTAAGGTCAATGCTAATAAAAATGCATTTAACAATAGTAAGCCAAGAAATGTCTATTCAGTCATCACAGTGCATGCTAAGAAAAAGAAAAAAAAGGAAGATGAAAAGAAAAACAACTGAAAACAATAAGCCCCATCGTGATCACGCCCACAATATGCTTCTCCGAGTCGATTATGGAAACCAAGAGAAGACAGCAGGTATTTTTTCGAAAGTCCTCATCCCACGCAAGGACATGAGGATTCGCATCGTGGACTCATGCACATCACATCACATCACAGCTCTTTCACTTCGTCCGTCGCAACTCCCACGCACCAGAGATTCCCAAAGGCAAAATCAGGCACGGATGAAAGAACACAAAAGGAGAATGAGGCAAGACGTGAGAGACGGAGAGATCCCGGTCCATGTTAGATCGGATCGGATTTCCCCAGGAAGAAGAAAATGGGGAATAAGAAACTATGAGGCAATCACCCGCGAAGGAACATCGCGGAGAGGTTATCTCTTCGAGAGAGGGGCCTTCAGCAAACGCCTTCGCCGAGCAGCAAAGTTTCATATTACCCGAAAAAGAAATAATGACAAACGAAGCCGGTATCCATTAGCAATACTGGCTTCCCATCTCCACCCCTTCATATCCATTGGTATCATAAGCAAAAGGTTTCATGACTGGCACGGCAAATCACCTCCCCTGAGCATCACATCAATGGGGTATTTCTATTACCCATTGATTGCTTACTGCGAGGCGCACTGCACGCGCTCGGCACCGGGAGGAACGTCATCATCATCCTCATCCATGCCGCCCGCGGCACCGTGGGCACGGGCCTGCGAGGGCTCGCTGGTGTCGATGTCATGCAGCTCGAAGTCCTCAACCATGGCGTCGGCCGGGGGCTGGACCTGCTCCATGCGCGGGGGCAGGACCTTCTCGAGGAGCTCGAGGTTCTGCAGCTGGTCCTTCTGGGGGAACTCAACCTCAAACTTGATGTAGAGGTTGCCGTGGTCGTGATGGCGGAAAGAGGGCATACCCTGGCCGGGGATCACCTTGATGGCATCTACAACGTGGGATTGTTAGCAAAGTTTCACCAAATTCACATGGGCGAACACAGGGCAAAGAAAAGAAAAACAAGAGCAGAGAAACGTACCAGGGGTGATAACCTCGCCAGGGGCAATGTTGACGGTCAACCAACGGTCGTCGAGGTGCTCGACGTGGACAGTACCACCGCCAAGCGCGGTCAAAAGATCGATCTTGGCCTGGAAGAAGAGGTCGTCGCCCTTGCGCTGGAAACGGGGGTGGGGCTTCTGCTCAATCTCGAAGACGACATCACCGGGCATAACGCCGGGCATCTGGTCACCCTCACCACGGAACTCAATCTTGTGGCCATCGCGAACACCCTTGTCGACGTGGACGTGGAGGACCTTGCGCTCAACAATGGTCTTCTTGCCGTTACACTTCTTGCAGCGGTCCTTGTCACGGATGATCTCGCCCTCGCCATTACAGTCGGGGCAGACGGTCTGGAAGCGCTGAATCATAGGGCCCATTTGGCGCATCATGGTCTTCATACCGCTACCGTTGCAGCCGGAGCACTCCTTGACAGCACCCTCCTTGCCACCACGGCCATCACAGCCAGAGCAGATGACTGACTTCTGCAGGGCAAGCTTTGAGACCTTGCCGCGGTAGATGTCCTCCAAGTTGACCTTGTGCACATGGTGGATCGTGCGGGCCTTCTTGGGGCCGGTATCACGCATGCCACCGCCGAACATTCCGCCGAAACCACCGCCGCCGCCACCGAAGAACTGGGAGAAGATATCCTCAGCGTTCATACCGGGGCCACCAGCGCCGCCCTCCAGACCCTCCTCACCATACTGGTCGTAGATTCCACGCTTCTGGGGATCGGAGAGAGTCTCGTAGGCGTGCGACAGCTCCTTAAACTTCTCCGCCGCCTCGGGGTTGTCAGCGTTCTTGTCTGTATTAACGGATAAGAGATTAGCATCGGAGAAATTAATTCGTCATTTGTGTAAGCAACAGTGTAGGACGACAGCTATGTCGTGTGTGTTTTCATCTTTCGAGATAGAGGGGGATTCGAGATGGGAACGCACCAGGGTGGTACTTGAGAGCACCCTTCTTATAAGCGGTCTTCAGCTGAGCCTCGGTAGCCGTGGGGGGAACCTATTGATGTAACGAAAGAAGGACTGATTAGCGTCACTGTGCAAACACGGTGATAAGAGCGGAATTCAAGCATACCCCCAGGCAGTCGTAGAAAGTGGTTTCCTTAACCATGATGGCGGGAATGTGGAAGAACAAAAAGAGAGGAGAGAGTGATCGAGAAGAGAAGAGAAGAAAGAAACAAAGAGTGAAATGAAGGTTGCTCCTGGTGGGGCAGTGACGAAGAAAAAGGCGAGATGTGCCCGAGAAGTGGAGGAGGGAGGGTTGATGACCTTTTTCTGATTCGGATAAGAATAGGAATGGAGTGGAATCCTAGAGGATTAGGAACAGGAAGACTAGGCTGAGTAACAACTTTTTTTTTCTGCCCAGGCACCCGCTTCGTACAGTACGGGTCCTGTAAAATAACCGGGATTTGTTACCAGGGCGCCGGACCCTTTATATTTTTTATTTTAAAGAAGAAAATGAGACTTCTAGAGGTTTGACAAATTCATTTCTTGCTCTGTAAAGTGGTCTGTTTTTCAATAAATTGATCCTCTTTCTTTCATTCTTTACCTATAAATCGGGCCCGAGCGTCGATTCGACGGGGTTCTGCGGCCTTCGATGGCGTTCGCTGTTCTTCTCCGCGATTCCGTCGTTTGTTTCCTGTAATTACCTGCTGACTCAGGCTTCGAAGTCTCTGTTATGTGGTTATCTTGTGGTATATCCATGGTATCCTATTCATCGGATCTTCAATGGGTGGCAAAGAACCATTCTGAGGTTTACTGTAAGGCTGAAAGGGATTTTCGGCTTACGTACTTTGTACTCTACTCTAGTACTGTACTGTACACAGTAAGTGAACTGATCATGGTTAGGCCAATTGTATCTCACTAGGCACGGTACTCTGGTACTCCGTAGACCCCCCTCCCCGCCACATCAAAATACTGTCAGCCACAACTGGTTATCGATAAGCCGAGGGGGAAAAGTTCTTCAATTGATCCACTTGCTCCAGTCCTCACAGCCATTGGAATCAACGCGAGCGGGCCTCTCCGACGGATTGGACTTTCTAGATAAAGACCGTAGTCGGCGGTCTGGGCGTAGGTCGTATCCATAAAATACCAGTTACTCCTCCGCAGGACACCAGACTCAATATTTTTGGCATTAAAAGTATACTCCGTACATCTTCATCATCAACTATCACCATGAATCAAGAGCCTGGTTTCATTGCCGCCGTTGAGGAGGCCAAGTTGGGATACGCCGAGGGCGGCGTTCCCATTGGAGCTGCGCTGGTCTCCAAGGATGGCCAAATTTTGGGCCGAGGCCATAATATGCGCGTGCAAAAGGGCAGCCCGGTTCTGCATGTCAGTAGTATCCCAGCCATTCTGTATATCTAATCATCACCGCGACTAACCATCCACGTAGGCTGAGATGTCTGCTCTGGAAAACTCTGGCCGACTGCCCGCCTCTGCCTATGAAGGTGCAACCATGTATACCACCCTCTCGCCTTGCGATATGTGCACTGGTGCTTGTCTGCTCTACAAGGTGAAGCGTGTTGTCATTGGCGAAAACAAGAACTTCCTCGGTGGCGAGGAGTTGCTCAAGAGCCGTGGTAAAGATGTCATCGTGGTCGACGACCAGGAGTGCAAGGACCTCATGGAGAAATTTATGAAGGAGAAGCCAGAGCTTTGGTATGTTGCATGCAGATGAGTGCCCACAGTGCTCCGTTCTTCTGTTTGAGTCCTGCTGACCAAAGTGCCTCCCATATAGGAACGAGGATATTGCCGTCTAGAGCCGCTATCAAAGTTGTATTTAATTGCATTATAGCCCCAAGCGAGGTGGGGCTTCATCATCTCAATCAAATCTCATTTATATCCAAATCCAGAGATATCTTGTGTATCATGAAACTTTTGCTAGACCGTCTCTCTGGGGTGGTAAGGAAGCCACCTTATGTCCGAAACAAATAATGATTCAAATTAAGCCGCCGTGAGACGGTGGATCTCCTCAAAGAAGAACTTGAGATTTTCCGGGTCCACGAAGGGAGTGATACCTGTCGGATATTAGCACCGTATAAGAAGGCATGTATCAGAATCTTACGTACCGTGTCCAAGGTTGCAAATCCAGCCTTGCTTGCCCTTCTTGAATCCTTCAACCATCTTCTCCACGGTCTCGGTAATAGCAGGACGGCCACCGTAGAGCATACCGGGATCGGCATTGCCCTGGATAGTAACGCGACCGTTGGCAATGCGCATGGCATCGGCGGGGTCGTGGAGCCAATCCAAGCCAACGACATTATAGCCGGACTGGCACAAGTCCTCCAGACCGTACCAAGCACCCTTAGCAAAGACAGTCATGGGGACGGGATCGAGACCCATCTCCTGCAGCTTCTTGGGCAAGTTGGCGGAAATGTGACGGAGGTAGGGAAGCGAGAACGACTGGAAAGAGGTGGGTGAGAGCTCACCGGCCCACGAGTCGAACACCTGCACCAGCTGCGCACCAGCCTGAACCTGGAGAGCCAGATAATCAACGCAGATCTCCGCAATCTTCTGAAGCAGAGCCTGCGATTCCTTCGGGTACTTGTAGACCCAGGTCTTAGACTGCACAAAGAGCTTGCTACCGCCACCCTCAACCATATAGCACAGCAGAGTCCAAGGCGCACCACAGAAACCGATGAGAGGAACGCGGCCCTTCAGCTTGAAGCGTGTCAGGGAGATGGCCTTGTAGACGTAATCCAATTCAGACTTGACGTCCACATCCTTCGCCATCACCTTCTCGTACTGTCCGTCAGTGGGCGACTGGAGCGGCTCAGGGAAGTGCGGGCCCTTCTTATCCACCATTTCCACCGTCATGCCCATGGCCTGCGGGATGACCAAAATATCAGAGAAAATAATTGCCGCATCGATAAGGCCTTCATAGCGTTCGATGGGCTGGAGGGTCAAAGTCGAGGCGACCTCTGGCGAGCGGCAGCATTCGAAGAAATCCCGGCCGGCCTTGGCCTCGTGGTACTCGGGAAGGTAGCGACCAGCTGGCGAGGAAGAAGAAAATGTCAGTCAATCGTTCTGAGGGTCAATTTTGTACGGGGAAAATGGGCACGGGGTCAAGCTCACCCTGTCGCATCACCCATATCGGCGGGCGCTCAACCTTCTCGCCTGTGATTGTTAGTCATCTGTTTATCGGTAGAAATTCGACAAGACTTCATGCATTGGTTTTACCTCGTGCAGCTCTCAGCAGCAGATCGTTCTTAAGGGGCTCAAATTGTTCTTGCATGGTGGGTGGTTGAATGCAGTTGGAGGAGGGGAAGTGGGAGGATTCTCGGGGAGCCGCGGGCCAACAAGTTGGTCTGCCGCCGAGAGAACCTTGAGGGACTAAGGAATGCTAGTATTTCCACAGCAGCTTACCGCAACTTCAAACCAGCATCTCAGACTGACTGATTTACTAAAAAAAAAAAAAATTGTCGTCTTACTTCATTCATCTATGTCCTGATGAACACATATATTTGGAGAATTTCTTGATCTTAGTACCTACTGAATGCTTGCCCAGGTGGGTAGGATACTAATGGTATTGATGACTGATTTTGTGATCTAGAAACGCACCAGATTATAATTCCTTCAATCGCTCATTACAGCCATGGATTGACTACTGGTATTCGCCGAACTGCTTCTTCCGAAGGACTCCCCCCACTGTACAGCACGCCGTCGAGTGCCTTCTTTTGTTTGTCATCAACATCGGTGGCAATAGCCGAGGTGCCAGCAGCATTGATATTAGCCGCCAATGGGTCTCCTGCTGAGTTCCACTTCAGAGATCCCTGACCCGTAGTGACTTGGAAATATTCAAGCAGAGTTTGGGGTGCTTCGAGGCCACTCTTCCATGCCCCTGTCGAGCCGGACTCTCGGATATTGTCGACCGAGACAACAATTGAACCCCGCGAATCAAGACCAGTTAGATCCAAGATGTTGCCCGAGAGCTGGATGGTATCCTGGTGCTTGAGAGTTTCTTCCTCGATGGTGTAGCAGAGAAGAGTTGAAGAGCTGTTACGAATGTTAGTTGAATTTTTGTAATTGAAAATTACGTGCACATACCCTTCGAGTCCAACTAGAATGGCCTGCACGGGGGATCCTGCGGGCTGCTCGACCGAGACAGCCCAGATGCCTCGAACACTAATTTCTGATTCTTGGGACAGACCCTCTAGAGTGACCTTTTGAAGCGCCTTTCCCTCGTACCACTTCCATAGCAGCAGGAAATCGTCACCGCCACCAGAAATGAGATATTGCGGTGCCCAGGAAGGGACGCAAAGCTTGTTGATAAAAGAAGTGTGACCCAGGCAGTACTTCTCAATGACATGCGAATGGGGGAGACCGCGTGACACACGGATGTGCTCATCACGATCAGCAGTCAAGATATAGTTCCGGTTCACAGGTGCGTCCGTAGGCAAAGACACGGCAATCAGGTCAGTGAGCAAGGAAACATGGCCCAGAATGAGCTGGTGCTCGAAACCAGACGCAACGTTTTCATCGGTGTTGCCATCCTTGGAAGCGGCCTTCTGAGCCTCTCTTTCGAACTGTGTGATTTGGTTCTTGAGAGTTTGTAGATTGCGCTGCGAATGCACAGTGAGATTTGTAGCAGCAGGCTTAAATGTCTTTGCCTCCTCCGCAGGAGCAATATACTCCCCAGGAATCAGAGGTAAGGAGTAAGCATCCCCAAATTTGTCAGCACACAGGATGGTTTGTCCATCGGGTGTTAGGGCCAACGCGCTTGGGCGCTTGGGCATCGTCCTTTTTGCACTGTCAGTACTCACTGATTGATCCATGAAAAGAATTGCAAGGCGACTACTTACCGAGAACTGATCTCGTCTAGCTTTCCATCTTCACTCAAACTGAATACTCGAATGCATTTGTCATCGGCAGTTACGGCCACAACATGCTTGCCATCGGAAGAGGTTAGAAGAATAGGGATATTAGTCCACTCTGGCAATTGATTGCCCGGGGCTTTCTTGGTCGAAGGCTTTTCTTTCGATTCTTCATTTTGATCATCGGGAGCTGTCGAAAGCTTTCTCCTCTTCTCCGCAGGCACTTGGTCCTCGGAAGCAGATTCAGAGCTAGACTGTACAGTTTTGGGCCAGACGTCCAGACATTGGCCATTTGCTGCGGCATACGAATAAAGACGTCGCCCCGCTGAAGCTATCAGGAATCCCGCAGAGCTTGAAGACTGCTGCTTGGTGTAATTCAGGCACTGGAAAGGGTGCTGGAAGTTTGCCATGATGCCGTTGGGATCTTGTGTTTGCTGGCAAAAATTTCGAGGTTACCCAATTCGGGTACCGTGAAAAGGTAGTCAATGGAGATAGACAGAGATATGATCGAGGTTTAAAAGACCGCAGAAAATCCAATCCAAATAAGACTCCCAAAGAAGGAAAATAAAATTCCACAGAGGTCAATTGCACGAAAACTGGAGCTTCGATATCTCGCTCGCTCTCCCTCTCGCTCTCTACTTGCTCTGTAGCGCCCGCCATCGGGAGCCCGCAATAACGTATCTCCGACCTGCACCACCATGGTCATGTGACCCACTAGCGAATCGCACCGAAAAAAAGAATTCCCCAAAGCCGTAATTTCTCTTCCACAACCAATTCAATAACCCTTAAACAACCTATCTTCATCAAAATAAGAAGAAATGGGGGGCAAGTCTGCATCCAAGACCGCTTACTTCGAGAAGCTCAAGAGCTTGGTATGTCTACACTGTCGTTTCTCTCTTGCAGAGACTTCTTTCGTGGTTCACAATGCTAATTGATTTCTGATTTAGCTCGAGGGCTACCGGTACGCTCGATCGATCCAATGATTCCGTGATAGCTCGTACTGACTATTCTGGCTCTAGCTCGATCTTCATCTGTGGTGTTGACAATGTCTCCTCCCAGCAGATGCACGAGATCCGTGCTTCCCTCCGTGGTGAGGCCGTCGTTCTGATGGGTAAGAACACCATGGTCCGTCGTGCCCTGAAGGGTTTCGTCACCGAGAACCCCGACTGGGAGCGTATCCTGCCCCACGTCAAGGGCAACGTTGGTTTCATCTTCACCAACGAGGACCTCTCCACCATCAAGGAGAAGATTCTGGCCAACCGTGTCGCTGCCCCCGCCCGTGCCGGTGCCTTCGCTCCTCTCGACGTCTGGGTCCCCGCCGGTAACACTGGTATGGAGCCCGGTAAGACCTCTTTCTTCCAGGCTCTCGGTGTCCCCACCAAGATTGCTCGTGGTACCATTGAGATTGTCTCCGACCTCAAGCTCATTGAGGCCGGTAACAAGGTCGGAGCCTCCGAGGCTTCCCTGCTCAACCTGTTGAACATCTCTCCCTTCACCTACGGTATGACCATCACCCAGGTCTACGACCAGGGTCAGATCTTCGGTGCCGATGTTCTCGACATCGGTGAGGACCAGCTCCTGAAGACCTTCAGCTCTGCTATCCAGACCATTGCTGCTCTGTCTCTGGCTACCAACATCCCCACCATCCCTGCCACCGTGCACTCGGTCGTCAACGCCTACAAGAAGGTTCTTGCTGTCGCTCTCGAGACCGAGATCAGCTGGCCCGAGATCGAGGAGCTCAAGGACCGCATCGCCAACCCCGATGCCTACGCCTCTGCTGCTCCCGTCGCCGCCGCTGGTGCTGCTGCCGATGCCCCCGCCGAGGCTGCCGCCGCTGAGTCTGAGGAGGAGTCCGATGCTGACATGGGCTTCGGTCTTTTCGACTAAGCGCATCGTCCTCAAACGGATACGAATGCCATGTTTTAGATACTTTGATTTAACCTAGACCTGAAATAAGGCTGGGGAATGAAATTACGACGACTTGGCAACGGCTTCAATTATGATCCTTCCTGACATGCTTAATGGAACGTAGAAACACGATCCATTATCTGTCCATCTACAATTGGTGAGTTTCGACTTTCTATCTCTTGTTATTTCCAACTCAACCTTTTGCCCACTATCTTGTTTTCAAACATCTCTTTCACCCTGGCGGATGATTATACCTTTTTAACCCCGAGCAATCGGCCCTTGCGTAAGGGCCGCACTGACGATTAAAAATTGCAACAACAACACTCTAATTTTTTGCTGACGCCAATGCCTCAATTTGCTTTCATTATTCACACCATTTGATATTTGAAACAATTGCTAATAATTTCTCAGATGACAGGTTTCTTCCTCGCAGACACTCTGTAGCAATCGTGTCTATCGTAGAGCTTAGTGCGTTGTGATGGCAAGGGATGTTTGAAGAGTCTAGAATTAGTTTCAATCAACGAGTTCCGGACCTACATATCTTGATTTCTCATTTTTCGTAGTATACCAGGTACCTAGGTACTCGCAGCACGGAACATCGCTTGCTGGCAAACGTATCCTGGGATGCCTCTCAATCGAGTATGTCTACCCTTCTGGCATGAGGGCTAGGCCCACCTCGTGATGTCGGTGGCCAATGACCGGCAATTCCGGCGATTTCTCCGCATGCTATTATGCTCTCCAATGCTACCTGGTAAGCTGTCAAATTCTCGGGTAGCAGAAAGACTATAAATTTTACAGACAACATCTCTATATACTTGGCTGCCTTCAAGTTGACGGTGCTGGAATGCATGTGCAAATAGAAATATTAGTTTGACCCAGCCTATTTACAAGCTTGGAACCACTTGGGTAACTTCCCGCGCTACAGCAGTGTCTATCCAACTCCAACGAATTTACTCCACGCAATCGATTTCAAAAATGACAGTGCAGTCCGGAGAGCCCCGGGTCACACTCATTGAGTTAAGTCCCGACGAGCTCGCTTCCAAGAAGCTAGGTTCGCACAACCTCCAAGCTGCGGTCGAAGCCCTTCATCGAGATGGGATCGTTGCGATAAAGAATGCCGTCAACATCGCACATCTAGACAAGCTCAATGCTAGAATGATTTCCGAGGCCAAAGACCTCTATGCCCGACCGGAGACACATCGTAACTTTGGCAAAAATACCGGGAATATCCAGCAGGAGCCCATCATGGAAGACGACTACATCTTCGACGACGTCATCGCAAATCCGTGGGCAACGGAGGCTATCCAGTGTATGCTCGGCCCCCAGTCGACTGTCCGATTTTACAGCGCCAACACTGCTTTCAAAGCGGAAGATCGACAGCCCCCGCATATCGACGTGACTTTTGATTTCCCCAAAGTTCCGTTTGGATATTGCGTGAATATCAACCTCGTCGATACGACTCCAGAGAACGGAGCCACGGAAGTTTGGTTGGGCTCGCATATTGACACGGACAAGGATATTCTCCACATTTCGGAAGATAGCATGAAAGTTAAACCCGAGCTCCAAGAACAGCGACGCAAGATCTCTCCGCCGATTCAGCCTAGCTTGCCTAAGGGGTCTCTAATCATTCGGGATTTTAGGCTGTGGCATGCTGGTAGACCGAACCAGACAGATGAGCCGCGAGTGATGCTTGTTTCGGTGCAGTTTCCTCGCTGGTACAGGAGTAATTTGAAAATGAGATTACCGGCTAGCTTCAGAGATAAGTTGAACTGGCGAGATGCTGTGCCGTGTGTGGAGTGGATGCCGGAGGGTTATGACTATCTTCAAGGTGCCCATGACCATGATTTTGTCTTGTTGCCCTAGATAAGGAATTTGAAATAATATAGCACATATATCACTATCTTGTTCAAATATTCTATACCAGATGTGAACTAGAATTCTGGGCAAAGAGAAAGATACAAATCGGACAACCATCTCGGAAAAGACAGCCGCACCAGGGAAACTCAAAAGCCAATGAGGCAATATGATCGTTCCATAAACTTTATTTACCATTACGAGAACGGAATTTTTGTAGCAAAGTTCAAAAGTAATATTTCACAGGTAACATTTTATGTTTCTGCGTGATCTCTAAGTCTATAAGTCTATATCTATATGTAGTAAAAGGGATATCAAACGTTTGGGTCATCAAGATATCCGAAGGCACAACCAGCCACGGGATGAACACCTGCTCATGGGAATAATAATGGGAAAACAAAAGAGTGGATTTTTTTCATCAAATAACTGGGAATAAAGACATTTATCCCAGAGTCAGGACGTACTGAGCATCAGTCGAGCACGAAAGGGTGTTGACATCATCCGGGTGCTGGTAAGACTCGGCGCAGTTGGAGTCACCGGCCTCACATGTAGCAGTAGAGCAGCTAGAGTCACTAGGAATAGCGGCGAAGCCGTTCTTGACGAATTCGGAAGAAGCGTCCATGTCGATGGAGGAAAGATCCCAGTACAGCTTGTCGGAGTCCAGAGTGTACTCGAACTGGAGAACACTGTCGCGAGTCTCGGTGGTGGACATCTTGATAGAGATACCACCGCCGTTGGGGTTGGTCTGCCAGTTCTCGCTGTAGGTGCCACCACCGGACTTGATAGTCTGCATATCACCGGACTCATCGGAGGTCGACCAGACGTAGACGTCGGTATCGAAGTTGTTCACGATCTGAACACTGCCGCTGTTGGAAGAGTCGCGGACACGGTGGGGAAGAGCAGTGGCGGCGGCGGCCAGGATGCTGGAGATGACAACGTTGGAGAAGAGCATTTTGAATAGTATACTTGTCGTGTTGACAAAAGTGGTGGTAAAAAAGACTGTGTTGAAAAGAAAGTTTCTGATCAAAAGACAGTGAAGAGAGTGTAGAATCTGATAAGAGATTGAATCAGATTGTAAAAACAAAAAAAGGCAAAAAGAGAGAGTGAGAGAACGACTGAGGTCTCAAAGATTGTAGTGGTTTGAAGAAAAAAAAAAGGTCTGTTGTCGAGAACGAAGTCGTCTTATATATCCATTTTGGACCCGTTGGAGATGTGGCAAACCCCCAAACTCAGATCTTCCAGACTGACCTCACACCTTCGAGAAATTATGGGGTTGGCCAATGAGTTGGTCGACAGTGGAGTGTTCTGTTTCCAGATGGTCTCGAACATCGTTGCCGTCGCCGGAAATGGAAGTAGTCATATAAAGTTTTACATCCTTCTATCCTCAACTGTCACTCGTCTGGCACGAGCTCCCGTTCGTCGATCCCCCAGAAATGATGGACTAATTGTGGACCTTGACATCAGACCGGCTTCAAAGTTTTGTTCCTTGTGCTCGAGGCGAATGAATGCGCTTCATTCTCCAAGCCCTACTCCAAAATCTCTTCCAGAAAAAAGTTGCAAGGCTCGATCCGCACATCCGATCATCAGGTACTTTTCGGAAGGCTGACCCTTCGGCAGTTCTGGTAAGTTCTCTTCCATCTGGGGTGGCGGATTTGGCAAGTTGGCCGAATTTTCCATCATACCATTTAGTCACGCTACCGACAGTAAGTCCCGATGTCGCCTTCACCTCCAAACCACCCAACCACGCGTTTTCTACACTCGCCACCGGTCTGGAGTGTGGCTGCCAAGGGATTTCCAAAAATCTCATACTATTCTGATGCCAGAGTCTCTTGGCGGGTGGCCATTCTAAGAATCTGTTCGAAGGCTTAGGTGGTACTAGCCCGCTTTCTCAGCAAGAAGCCCGTCGAAGGAATGGCCAAGGCCTCAAATTCTAGACCTGGCAAGAACATTGGGTTGATTTATGGTGTCCTTTATCGTGAGGTCTTTTAGGGAAGGTCTAGAATTTTTATTTGCTTCCTTGTGTCCGAACTACCTGTAGCCTTTCATCCTTCCTATGTACTCAAAGCAGTCTCAATAACTAGATTGAACTTAGTTGTGAAAAGTATTTGAACCCTTTGAATACAATAGGAAGATCTGATTTTCCTTCAAAATTAATTATCTTGAAAGGTACAAAGCGAAAGGCAGGTGGAATCCTTGGTTAGAGGCAAGGCGCTGGATGGTTCCCCAGGTCCTGACACGAGGAAAGTGTCCCTGTCTAGCGCCACTCGGACGATGCGCGAGGAACGTACCGTGTAACAGAGGCTCTCCCAGAGGCAAATGTGTCTATAAATATTAGTCAACTATGGGTTAGGCGGTTGCCTGCAACCAGGTCGGGCCAGACTTCTACGTGAGACAGGTTCGAAGAGTCGGAACCATACCGGTTCGCAAGGCACAAGGAACCGTGTCTGTGGTCTTGAATTGAGTTTAAGAACTTGGAGACATTGATCTAGTTTTCACAGTGGACCGTCGAGGCCGATCCTTGCTCTGAATACAAAGAATCCGCCTCTACCATATGCTGTTGCTTGTGACAGCGGGTCTTCTCCGCAAAATGGAAGTCTAGACTCAGCGAGGTCCATTTTTCTTTCAACTTAACTCACCCCACTCTGTGAGTTTTTTAGGTCTGGATGTATGCCAATATGCTTGGGAATTTAAAAGAAGATATGGTAGGTATTCCGCGCTAGGTACGTAGCCCTAAGTTACCTGGTACTACGAGTAAGTGTCAAACAGAATGCAAACAGGGCCGCCACTTTCACAGGGCCACTTAGCCTGGCCTCTTCCGTCCGTTAAGGGGAAGTAAAATAACATTACTAGTAGTAGCCTGGATTACACCATGGTTGCCATTTACGGTACTAGTAGGTACGTATAGACGCTATACAGCTTGAGTCGGAATCTATTGCATGTATGATTGCAAAGAATTTGACCTTGGTATCCGTGTGGAAAGAAGAAAATAATTAAATACAATGTCACCCAAACGAAAGTAAAAACGAAGGGCTTTTGAAGCGAGTAAATTCCTATACATCATCGGCGCCACGCCCGAAGCGGCCCCCAAAGCCTCCCAGATCACGGCGGAAGAATTTGCCAATATTCTTGAGGTTTTCGTTGAGATTTCCAGCAGCCGTGGACTCTGATGGGGTATGAGCATGACCACTCTGCTGATTCAAGGGAGGCGGAGCAGGAGACGAAGCTCCGGATGTACCACCCATGCCGGAATTAGAAGAGGTACCACCGACAGCGCCTGTGGTGCCCAGGGTGCTCAGGCTGGGATTTCCAAATCGATCGACACCGTCTTTCGCTGCAGATATGAGGGCGGAGCCGAGCATGGTGGCGTCAAAACGAGAGGGCATAGACATAGACGGAGTGCCGCTCAGGCCAAGACCTGTTGAAACCGAGCCAGTGGTCGTGGCCGCTGGAGCTTGCAAACCTGCGAGGATAGGGTTGTTCTGCTGGAGGCTGGAAGCAAATCGGTCTGATGCACGATGGAGCTGGAACAGCTCCACTAGGTGATTTTGTTCTTGGCGACTGCGAATACCTTTGAGGTCGAGGATCTTACGGAAGTTGTTATTGTTGCGGTCCGCAATGTGAATGAGGTATGCTTGGACAAGGGCCTCTGGTGGAGAAGGCCGGACTTGTAGGGTTTTGAGGAGAGTCTCAATCTTGAAAAAGCTGCTGTTCACACGCTTGACGAAGCCTGCAGGCGCAGGGGCGGGAAGGAGAGACGAGAGACCACTCTTGAGAGTGTAGGAGTCAAGGAGCATCTAGATTTAGGTAAGCTTAACAGTTCAAATCGCATTGGCGCCAGTCTCGTAGAGGAAAGACCTACCTGCTCAGCCCCCGTTTCAGAAACAGGTCTACATTGGAAGACATTGCTGATGAATAGACTGGACATCAATTCCACAAGATGATCGGAGAAGGCTCGAGCATATTGCTGTTTGTGCAGCATTTCGAGGATATGCGATGCCCTTTCTTTTGTCCGTGAGAGCATTTCTCCCACATAGGAACTTTGATCGCTGACGGCCTCAATCCTGCTCCAAGGCGTGTTGCGCATTTCTCGCCAGGACGGCTCCAGATCAATTTCCACTTGCTTTACAAGCCCTCGAACAGCCGCAGACGCAATTCCCATGAATGAATCGGCCTGGCTCTGTAGGTCGACCGATTCCTTCAGACTTTCATCTAGTCGGCCTTTGATCTTTTCTTCCAGCTGGGTGCACGTAGAATAGCAGTAATCGGCAGTATTAAGAACTGTAACCAACTCTTCTATCGATGGCACTCTAGACGGTGTATGGCCCGATGGACGTTCACTGATATAACTGAGAAGAACCTGCTGAGCATATTGGTCGAGGTATTTAGCGAATACCTTTGCGAGCTCTGCTAGACTCCCACCTGTTGAAAGCTTTGCGCATTGTTGTAGAGAGTGCCGATAGAACGTAAATAGTTCAGTAGACGACGAGACCACGGTGTGGGAATTGAACTCCTCATCTGGAGCTTTCAGGGGCTGTTGACGATATTTAGGCAGTAGTCCAGCCAGCTGCTTGTCTTGCGCGTCAACCCAAACACTCAAATACGGCTCAAATGCCTCGGAAATCGACTGGCTGAATGCTGGAGTTTCAGTGGACGCGAATGTATCTGCAGATGGTCGCGGAGGTGTGAAGCGACGCTCAAGAGATTGCTCAAAGTCAAGAGTTTCTTGCAAGCACGAAAGTAACAAATTGACATCGATCGTTTGGCCACTGCGTACGGACCGTGAGAGAATGCCCTTGTAATCATCTCGAGTTCCCTCGCAGAAGACATTGGCCAATATTTCGTTAACACGCCAGGGGGCTGGGAAGATCGCAGCGTTCTCCTCGTCGTAGATCTTCAAAATACGCCGGAACCATGAGTATCGACGAGAAATATTATCGAGGGAGCCAGCCTCTTCATTATTCCGGAAGACTTGGCGATATTCGCGTAACTGAGTGTTGCAGTACCATGTCACAAGTCGGGAACGAGCATGCTCGCCGAGTGCATCCACAACTAAGCATGCCTCTGAAAGAATGATCTTGCGCTGCATCACTTCTCCCTTAGAAAATGCCATCTCAAAATCTTCGCAGACCTGCTCTAGGAGATCTCGCTGGATATCCGCAACATTCCGACTCAAAATTGCAATTTGGTCGATTGATCGATACGATTTGAAATGAGCCATCAGCTGGATTACCGCCTGGAGGAGTTGTGCGCAATCCCGATACTGTCGCGTCCGGCTAAGCGCCTGAAGCTGATCATAAGCAGTGGTCAGCATCTGAAGGCGTTTCAGCGCTGTCATAGACAGAGTGAGGTTCTTTTTCGCATTGTCCAACTGTTTGATATCGGCGGTCATGTCGGTAATGGCTTGTTCGGTCTTGATGGCGCGTTCGCGGACATCATCAATCTTTTTAAACAACTCTGACAGATCAGCCTTGGCTGTCTGTATGCGTTCAACACTCTCGGCATTAGAGGTGACCTGTTCTTCCACAAGGGTACCAATGTCGGAGTCCAATTCATCTTCGTAGGTGTGGAGAGCGTCGGAGATCTGGGAGACGGAGGAGAGGGTGGAGGGGTGTGAGAAGATAGCGTTTAGATGGTCGACCGGATCGTAGTTCACTGGAAGAGGTCTGATCAGCTTTCCGGAGTGGTTTCATGGCATTGGTGAGGGCCGATACCTGCATCCAAGGCGTCGAGGGCGGACTCCTCGTTTGAAGGCATATGGCCGGTGTTTGGAGAAGTGATTGCAACCATTCCATTAGATGACCAAGATCATTCTGCTCCCAGCAACAAAACAAAGTTGCGCCAGGCCAATGCAGAGTTCCGGAAGGGCAAAATGGGGGGTGAATGGGGAAATGGGGTCACGTTGATCAAGTCGCGCGGGCGCTCTTCGGGAGCCACCTGGGCCGCTTGGCATCTTACGCAACATCCCGCGCCGCTAGTTAGTAGCACGACTATAGTACATACTGTGTGCAATTACTCCGTAGAAGTGTTTTCCCTATACAAGTTTGGACACAAGACCATTATATTGTATTTGTACTAGCTTTAGAATAACTATAGTCAGGACTAGGAAATACTCCTTGATTGGTTCAACTATTAACTATTAGTTATGGAGCGCTGTAGCTATCATTTTGTACGTATTCCACTGCCAGAAAATATGCTTGAGTGTGTTATTTGATTTGTTCGGAGCCAGCAATGGGCAAACTTCTAAAATACAGAGGGACATGTCCCGAATCATTCACTGTCTTTCGCCTAAGCCATGCAAAATTATTCAAAGCCTTTCGGATGCGTCATGCTCCATAACATCATCCGACTTTCCATTGCGGTCTCGAGAGCTTCAGGCCATGGTGTTTCGAGAAAGATATTCCGCAGGAACCGAGCGAAAAATTATGGATTTTTTGATTTGTTTCGTATTGGGATTGGTGGTTGAGGATTGTCAAATCGGAGGATAAAATTTAAACTCCATTGAGGAAAGCACTTGGGGGTAAAGATCCCTGCGCCTGTGAGAATAATTTAGCATCGAAAATACCAGCGGTTAGAATGGGTGGTGACTATTTTGCTTACCTTGAGTTCTTCAAAGTTTTTCCAGGCCGCATCGAGATTCCAGCCGTTGCCAGAGAGAGCCATTTCCGAGTATTGAAGAGTCATGCCGGACTTTGTGCTGATCTGGATGACGAGCTGCTCTTGCTGAACTTGGGTCTCCGTTTTGCCAGGCGCGGGAGCACCATATCCCGCGGGAAATCCAGGTAGTGCCGTGGCTGCAGCTGGCGCAAGGGGAGCAGCAGGGTTGGCGGCAATAGTAGGTACCGGAGCCACAGCTTGGGGAATGGGCTGGCTCTCAGGACTCCATGCCTCGTGGCCACCGTAGGCACGAGCGCACATGATATCATTCAAGACGCGAATACCACCGGGGCCATTTCCTGGACCAATGATGAAGGTCCTGTCGAAACTGCGCGTCTCAACCTTGCCATCGACGCTTTCGTCAAACTTTCCATGGACATTGATAATGAGGCCGCCGACTCCGGTAGAGCTCTGTCCTGTTGGATCGGGCAGACCGGGTACTTGGTGACACTCGACCAAGAACTGTTCTGGATGGGTGGCCATGTCTGGGTGACGTGTTTGAGGAAGACTATTCCACATCTCGGCGATCTTTTGGGGACCATTGGAGATGCGATTCATGCGAGCAGTCAAGTGCGTGATCTTGGAGAGATTCCTGCTCTTTTTGATGTATGCATCCCAGCCCGCTGTTTCAGTTTGCTGGACTTTGGGAGCCTGGACGTTGACGTTCAAAGAAAACTTGGAGTTTTCGTCGTAGAATTGGTTAATGAGATCGTTGCGGTTATTATCGTAACCAGCAAAGAAGGTTCGGATGAAATTCTCGGCGATTTGAGAATCATCCTGGAAGTGAGGTGCCTGAATAGGTATCGGGGTCTTCTTTTGGGCAGCGATCTCCTCTGCGGTACGAACTTGGACGTTGTTCAAAATCTGCAATTTTGGGTACCACTTCAGCATCGTGGCCTTGAAGTCTGGCTTGGCGCTGAACTCATTGCCAGTCATATCCAGGAACTCAAGGTTACGGAACTTCCACCGCCACGCGATCATGGATTGAGAATCCTTGAAGTTGTTGTTTGAAAGGTCCAAATTTTTGATGTCGGCAAATGTCTGAGCCATGGTTGTCACGACGGAGACATTTGCGAGCTGGTTCTGGGCCAGGCTGACACTCTCCACTGCCTCTCGTCGCTCGGAAGAGCTGGTGAATTGCATTTCCCATACTTTCATCATGGCAGGAAAGAACTTTGACTGGGTTGTGGTGCTGTTGAAGATACCCATGGCCTGGAGATCGGTATCGTCGACCAGTTTGGACAAGTCCAGGAGCTTCGCCGCAGGGTTGAAGCGTTTGCCCAAAATCGAGGTGATTTTCAGCTTGGTATCCGCTGTCGAAGCCGATGTGCCGCCGGAGGAGGCAAGTTGCTGACCAAGTACTGCGGTTGAAGAATCGTAGAGCTCGACCGTAATGTTGACACCTGCGAAGAGTTTGCCATTGAGTTGAAGCAGGCGCTCAGTCCACTCGGGGTGGACGGAAACCACGAGAATATCGCCTTCAACCCGCGACTAATTGAAGGTCAGAAAATCGTAATATAATTTGGGATTGCAATGAAGCGAAGCGAAAATCAAGAAGAAAGAGAAATCTGGGAGACTAGTGTAATCCATGGTTGTCGACCGTTTTGCGAAGTGCGAGGGCTGTTCGGGTCTTTCTAGCGGATAACCAGGATACAGTCGGATGTAGCGAGGGTATATAAGGTCGAGGTTCGTGTATGGCAACCGCGGCGCCGCAGGGACTTACCTTTGTGACTTTGAAGCGGGATCCTTTAGGTGCCGAGTTCAATTTTCGTTCGCAGAAGGAGATGAGGTTTTCAACACCACCATCACGTTTGGTAGAGGCATTGCTATTCTTCCAACCAGTGATGCTGATTTGCGTGCTGTTTCCCTTACCACCCTTGCCATGTCGGACGTTGGCTTGGGCGGAACTTCTGTTGTTGTTTTCGGAGATGGCTTGCTCAATGGCGTTCAGAGTCCTGTCGCGTGTTTGAGGTCGACCTCCACCAGCGGATCGACTTCCACCAGCAGATCGACCACCACCAGCTCGAGAGGAGCGACCGGAATCACCGCGACCTCGCTTTCCCCCGCGCGCACTACTATCCATGTCCATGTCACCATCTCGATCGGTTCGGGTAGGGCCCCGCTTGCGGATGCCCCCGCCAGATGCGCCTCCGGGACGACGAGACTTCATGGTCTTCATGGTGTTGGGATGATTCGGATTGAGAAGGCGATGGAAGAAGGGATAAAAGGAAATCCGATGACTGGCGAGGAGCGTGGAAAGTAGGAGAGGCTGGTCTTCTAGAACCACTTTGCGCGTTGCGCAGCCACCTAAATCGAGCGGGGCGAAGTCGTTCGCATTCACTGAAGTTGTGAAGAATCGGTAATCAAAGCGGACGAAAGAAGAACGCAACACAAAGAAGCTGTTAAAACGACTTTTCCAAAGAAAGAATTAGGCAGCGTTCCCGCCACGGAGTTTTGCGCGCCGCATCAGGCGGACGCTGGGCCCTTTTTTTCTTCAGTGAATGTTGACCGCCTCACGTGACCAATGCGTCATAAAGCTCAAGCTTGTCACGTGCATAAGTGAGATGAGTCAGCCTTCTGACCAATCAAAATCTGCCACTCCTCCGTCTTTATTGTCGAATGGGGCAAAGGCCAATCGGCGCTGATATACTACTTCGATAAGGCCAACTTGCAGTCAACTTGCACACCAGCCCTCCTCCTCGGCTGCTGGACCTCGGATTACACCCGCCAATTGATCTGTCTCGATTTAGTCTATGTATGTATCTTCCTTTGATGTTCTCCTCTTCTTTGATGTTTGGTCGAGTGATCGAGTCTCCTGGTTTCACCCGAACTGACTCGCGCGTACCATCTGATCTTTGCTAATTTCCCCGCCTTGACACCAGACAATCGCGCTGCTGACGCTTTCTGAGACTTTTCGCCTACATCTTGGCTCGCCCTATGGTCTGCAATTGACCGGCAAGATGCCTTCAAAATCGCGATTTACGAAACTTGACGCCTTCGCGAAGACCGTCGAAGATGCGCGCATTCGCACGAACTCTGGAGGTGTTATTACCATCGCATCGCTTCTGGTAGTCTTCTGGCTGGTATGGGGAGAATGGTCGGATTATCGGCGGATTGTGGTGCAGCCAGAACTTGTTGTTGACAAGTCGAGAGGTACGGAATTGTCATCAACGTGGTTGGCAGACATTCAAGGCATGTCCGAGAGAAAAGGCTAACATTCGATACGGCTTGAATAGGCGAACGAATGGAGATCCATTTGAATATGACTTTCCCACGGTTACCTTGCGAACTCTTGACCTTGGACGTTATGGATGTCTCGGGCGAACTACAATCAGGCGTTGCGCATGGCGTGAACAAGGTCCGACTCTCCCCGCCTGCAGAAGGCGGTCGTGTCATCGATATTCAGTCTCTTGACTTGTAAGTTTATGCTTCCTGACTGCAAAGCGGAATCGACCCTGCGATTGGATCATTGGCTTACTTTGTCCTTCTCGATATTCAGGCACTCCCCTGCAGATGCGGCGGCACATCTTGCCCCAGACTACTGTGGTGATTGTTACGGAGCCACGGCGCCTGATAACGCTATTAAGCCCGGCTGCTGCAGTACTTGTGATGAAGTCCGGGAAGCTTACGCGTCAAAGACATGGGCTTTCGGTGTTGGTGACAACGTCGAGCAATGTGAGCGCGAGGGCTACAAGGATAAGCTCAAGGCGATGCACCGTGAAGGTTGCCGAGTGGAAGGCGTCCTTCGTGTCAACAAGGTGGTAGGCAACTTCCACATTGCGCCAGGCCGTAGTTTTACAAACCAAAACATGCACGCTCACGACCTGCAAAACTACGCTGTGCCCGGCACCCCGCCCGACGAGCAGCATACCATGAGCCATGAGATTCACGAGCTTCGATTTGGGCCCTCTCTCCCCTCGGAACTCGCTGACCGATGGCAATGGTCGGATCACCACCACACTAACCCGCTTGACGACACCAAGCAGGCGACTAATGAGCCCCAATTCAACTTCATGTACTTTGTCAAGGTTGTCTCGACCTCTTACTTGCCGCTGGGATGGGATCCTCTCTTCTCGTCTGCGATCCATAGTGCATACGATAAGGCACCCCTTGGATCCCACGGCCTCGCTTATGGTGCCCAGGGAAGTATTGAGGCTCACCAGTACTCGGTAACTTCACACAAGCGTTCCCTCCTAGGTGGCGATGATGCCGCCGATGGCCACAAAGAACGCATGCATGCTGCTGGTGGTATCCCCGGCGTCTTTTTCAACTACGATATTTCTCCTATGAAGGTCATCAACCGTGAAACCAGACCGAAAACTTTCACTGGCTTCCTGACCGGTGTTTGTGCCATTATCGGAGGTACCCTCACTGTTGCTGCTGCACTGGACCGTGGTCTATACGAGGGTAGCATGCGCATCAAGAAGTTGCATTCAAACTGAACTCAACTAGCCTTGAAGCTAGGAAGATATGTCAATTGACTTTCATACACACCAGAGAATGCATCGGGGTCGGAAGTAGGTTTGGGCACTATGGCGTTTTTCAAATACCTATATACACTGATTTTGTTTGTTTGGGTTCATATTTGTATCTCTGTATCGGAAAATGGCACCGCAAAGCAGATTCTGAATTTTAAGCTACTACTAGTACGAGTACGTGTTTCCTGTAGAGAACCGGGACGCATAGTGCCAGATGATCAAATATTGAACGACTGTTAGGCACGGGTGGAAGTCCTCCCGTCATAAAAAAGCTTCTCGTGTTCTCCACGCATCGAGGCAGGGAAAGTCTCCTCCCCGTTTTCGTCGAAGAGCAGTGCTTCACTTTTCGTACTGCGCCTTATCAAGTCGCGCCCACGTTCAAACATTTCTTTCTCGTATGAAGCAAGGGCCTCTTCCAATTTCGATGCTGGCACCGTTGTGATATCGGGACTTTTGCCACAAAGCTCAACGAGTCGTTTGACCAAGACTACAGCATCATACATGGCACAATTTACCCCCTCTCCTACGAAAGGAGTTGAAAGATGCGCCGCATCTCCGAGTAAGGTCACGCCTGGAGCAACATCGCGGTTCCAATCTACCTCTTCCGGTCTTAGATAGTGCAAGCTCCAGGCACGGAATGGTCCTTCTGCATCAGCTACAATGGCTTTGAGATGCGGTGCCCAATTCGCGTAGAACTTGTCTGAAGACACCATCAATTTTCGAATAGCCTCAGACTTCTTCGTAGCACCGTCATTACGGTGTTCATAGAAGTCTTTAGCAGCAGTGATGCCAAAGTACATTTTGTACGTTCCGTCCCCCGATTGTTGAAGGATTAAGCTTCGGTTTGGACCCACTGCCATCATCATTCCGGGGCCGGCCAAATCGTAGGCTGCTTTGTAGCTTTTGTTGTTGTGTGAGATTCTACTCTCAATGTACATTTTCCCGCAATAGACAGGCTGAGCTGCTGATATCTGCGGATTGCGAATATGATTTAGAATACCGGTTTCTATTCCTTTGATTCTGGATTGGATGGCTTACTAGAGGGCGCACTTTGCTCCAGCCTCCGTCAGCTCCAACGATAAGCTTAAATCCAGTGGCCGAGCTGCCGTTGATAAATTGAATAACGTATCGATAAGCACTGTCATCAGACTCATTGTCACTTCTCTCAATACGGCGCACACCGTGGCCCCATTTGATCTTGTGGGCGGGTATAGAGTTGAGTAGAAGCTGGCGTAGCTGCAGACGATCAATCTCTGGTGCGTTACGATCCTCACCAAAGCATATCGATGTTTCGCCAGAGGGTTTGAGAATACGGATCCGTGAGGCATTCCAACGGGCATAGACTGTATTGAATTCTTCAAACAATCCGGCTTCTTTGAGAGCCTGTTGACCCGACGGGCCGTGAATATCTAATGAGCCACCTTGCTGCCATGGGCCTGGGGATGAAGATTCGTCACGTTCGTAAATGACGTAGTTCTTGAATCCATTTACTTCGAGAAGGCGTGCGAAAAGCAGACCACTCGGACCTGCACCGATGATTACAATAGAAGGCGACAGATACATATTGGAATTTGTGGATTCAAGTTGGCTTCAAACTTGAAAAAAGTCATAATGGATTGGAGTTCGATCTCATTCGAGTACTGCAGGAACTTTATAGTTTTAATATCCTCCTGAGGGTGGTATGATCCACGGATTCCTTCCGATTGGTCCGGGTTGTAACCACAGCACAGCAGCGACAATAGTAACTTCAAGTTGACATCGCACAATCGGACTCTCCGAGGTCTTCTTTACATTTTTACGAGGGCCAGAGATCTAGCATGCTCTCCAAGAGCTTGGGTTTCCTCAAAATAGGGATGGTAGTAGCCGGATATCTAGAGAGGCCTCCGGCCACTACGCTACTAGGTTTTCTCTGAGTGATTCATGCGTACAAGGGGGCAAAAGCTGGAAGGTCTATAAGCACGAATGCGACCTTTTTCGAGGAAGAATCCCAGTTTTGGAAAAATTCTACGCTTTTGTATAACCTTGGACAAGGCCAGCTACATATCGCAGATATCCATGGATCTAGACGTCCGCGGGGGTACCTAGATACACTGGGAGGAGCTACAAACCGTAGCAATTTGGATAGCATATGCCGACGAGAAATATCGTCATTCCAAGGTTTTACATAAATGGTATATGCTAAAATGCCTCATAGTTCTGGAGCATATAACGCGCCTGGCTAGAAATGAACGTGCTGCTGCGGTGAAGGCTGCGAGCAAGGATCGCCCTCTGGACACCTCGTAATGGCGGCCGATGTGGGGTGCTCCCCGGTCATTCCGTTGCGGGGGTACCGTTGGCATCTTTCCGTCTCGCGTCCACCACCCCGTGTCGGACACGGGGTGGGCACAGCGTTCATATCAGATCTCTCTTCATGCCGGAAACTCGTAGCTTTGCATTCCTATGCAGTTGGAGAGTTAAAAGTTAATTCAGCTCCTACCAACAAGAGAAATCTGTCATTAACCTATTGCTCTCTACTATCATCTCATCTTGCACTCATCCTCAATGGCTTCTCTGGCAGCCAGGGCGACCCAAGTGAAGATGTTGAGGAGAATGTCATGTTTCTCGACCTCAATCGCTTCTCGTGTACTGAGCACCCGTGCGACCTCTTACACACTTAATACCGGCGCGAAAATCCCGGCGCTTGGATTCGGTACTTTCCAAGATCACGACTCCCAAGAAGACACTGTTAGCCTAGCATTGCAAAAGGGCATGCGTCTTATTGATACAGCACGGGTCTACGATGTAGAAGAGCAGGTTGGAAGGGGAGTCAAGAAAAGCGGAATTCCACGCGAAAATATTTTCATCGGCACAAAGTTATGGTGCAATGATTATCATCCAGACGATGTAGAGCGCGCCGTGGATGATTCCCTTCGAGACTTAGACACCCCATATGTCGATCTTCTATTAATGCATTACCCGTGCACTTTTAAGCGCGGTCCTGACCGATTCCCCAGAGATCTCGATGGCAGAATGGTTGCAGGCGAGACAACGTTTCTGCACACGTGGAAAGCGATGGAGAAAGTGACTAAAACCGGCAAGGTCAAGGCAATTGGAGTATCGAATTTCAGTCGTGGCGAAATTAATATTCTAATCAATGAATCCTCTACGGTGTGTACTCCCTCCAACCACAATTGTCGAGGATATCAGCCAAATTTCAGTAAATTCTAATACCTCACTCTAGGTCCCGGCCGTCCACCAGATGGAGGTCCACCCCTACCTACAGCAAAAAGGGTTTAACGAGTGGCTTCAGGCAAGGGGAATCCACGTTGTCCAGTTTAGTCCACTCGGCAATATGAACGACTTTTACAGACAGACCGGATGGTCAAAAGAAATTTCGCACATGATGCGGGTCATCGATCAGCCGATTCTGAAGGAGATTGGTCAGAAGTATGGCAAAAGCCCTGTTCAAGTAGTACTTGCGTGGGGTATCAACAGCGGCCGTTCCGTCATCCCTAAGAGTGTGGTTGACTGGCAAATCGAGGAAAATCTGGCCGCCCACTTTGAGTTGCAGCCTGAAGATATGGCCCAAATAGCAACGCTGGATGCGAAGGCCCGATTCAATGATCCCAGCTTGGACTACGAATGGCGTTTGTACGGTGACTTGGAAGGAATTGACGGTACTATAAGGGGTAAAACGCACTAAGTATAGTATCGGCGACGGAAAATCCTTATAACCAGAAGCTTTTGTCAATAACAATTTTGCCCGGCAACGAACTTGGATAAAAACCTTTTAGTTGCCTAGTAAGCACTGAGAACTTGATACTCTACAGTACTAATATTTTCGGTACATTACAAGTAAGTCAAGATAAACCGAGAGAGCATTGTGTGTACTTATTTGTCCCTTTTGTGGAAAAATTTAGAAGACTGGAGGAAAAATCTTATTATAATGTCGACTAAATCTCTATCAAACCAGAAAGCAGCATATGTTCTCAGATCTACAGATCAGATTCACTTCCAAGCATATTTTTAAAGTTGGCGTGGAGTATTTAACAAACTGGAGTTATTAGCATAGTGATTTGACTTTAGTAGAGACTGAATAATGCTTACTTCCTATCACACCATTCACTGGAATATCAATGGAGGTAGTGTAGCTAGCGGCCTCACTTAGAAGATACACGTAAGCACCGCCGAGCTCCTGTACCTCAGCTAACCGAGGGAATCCACCATAATACTTGAGCTGCTGTTCCCAGTCCGGTTGCTGAGGCACCCAGTATGTCATGGCGGTCTTAACTAGACCAGGAGACACACTGTTGACGCGAATGCCGTATTGTGCCCACTCCATGGCCAAGGTATGGGTCATGTTCCGTACGCCTGCCTTGGAGGCACCGTAGGGGGTAGAAGGAACGCGCTGAGATACAATGTTAAGGGTTTTGTAAAAAGCGAGCTCTGACTGAGACTAACCTTATTGGGACGATAAGAGGCCATTGACGCTGTGAAGACAATAGATCCTTTGATCCCGAGCTTGATAAATGCACGAGCAGCAGCACGTGCAGTGTAAAAGGCACCGAAGAGATTGACGTTAAACAGAGTTTCAATATCCTCCTTGGTGAAGTCGAGAGCGGCCTTGTGGTGTGTACGCCCAGCGTTGACCACCATTCCATGGAGAGCACCAGCCTCTTCAATGATTTTATCGATCGCAGTAGTAATAGTCGATTCATCGGTCACATTAGCGGTGACAGCGAAGAGCTGGCCGGGATAGCGCTTAGAGACAGCATTAAAATCGTCGCCGGTCTCTCCAATGTCAATAGAATAGACTTTGGCTGCACCATTGGAAAGGCAGCACTCGGCGATACCAAGACCTATACCGCGGTTGGCACCGGTAACTAATATTAACCACCATTAGTTGACACTATTCCGCATGCGAATATATCCGAGTGCAGATAAACCTACTAGCGATAACTTTTTCACTGAGAGTGACCTGAGTCTGGGGGCCATTTTCCGCCTGGGGAAGGGCCACTTTGTCCAAGGTCACAGAAGGAGCCATTGTTAGATGACGAGCGTAAGTTAAAGAGATACCTAGGTGAGAGGTTGTTAATTGAAGGTATCGAAAAGACGAGGCTGAGAGGAAATAGGCATAAGTCAGATACCTTTTTATAAATCACAAAAGAATTTGAACAGTTACATCAGCTTCTGGTCTAAAAACCCCATCCAAAATCCACCATTGACTCTTGATGCACTCCACAGCTCCCGAGTCGAGGGTTGCCCGAGACGGTAAACGTTGGAGAACGTGAGTACTACTGGTTGGTCCATTGAATTCACTCACGTCTCGGGAGATTCCCGAGATGACAAAAGGTGGGGTCAACTTTGTGTCCCGAGACGAGGGAAGAGCTTAGTCCCGGCTAAATTGAGGAGCAAATGTGGGGGATCTCGAAAGCCTTCACCATTACTTTTTCTTTTTCTTTTCTAAGACTTGTCGATTTTCTTCAATCCTCTGTGCTGTCATATTGACCCATTCATCAATTCACTCATAAAGACTCATTTTAGAATGGCTGCGCTTCCTGCTTGGAACCTTCTCAAAGGTAAGACCGCGGCAATCACTGGCGGCACCACTGGAATCGGTCGCGCAATTGTTCTGGCATATATCACCCAAGGATGTAATGTCGCAGTCAACCACTTAGGCATGCCTCAGGATGAAAAGCATCGGCACAGTCTTCTTGAGGAAGTCAAAGCGATCAGGAACAAGGGCATCAATGCGGGTGAAATTCTGGAGCTATCTGGCGACGTGACAAACCCTGAGACTGGATCCAGCTTGGTCAAAGAGACTGTCTCTAAATGGGGGAAGCTGGACGTTTTTGTTGCCAATGCGGGTGTCTTCAAACAAGCAGAGTTTCTCAAGTAAGTCAAATTGGAAATACCGAAATCGAAACCTTCCTAGGTTCTTGCTCCGGGCGGGTTAGCCTACTGCATAGATAAGATTGCGTTAACATATTTATCCAGGGTCGAGCCAGCCCTTATTGATCACAGTGTTGACGTCAATGTAAAAGGTTGCTTCTATTCTTGTCAGGCTGCCGCTCGCCAAATGGTGAAGCAAGGGCATGGCGGTTCGATCATCGGCATTTCCTCTGTCAGCGCCCTAGTTGGCGGTGGCTTACAAACCCATTATACACCTACGAAAGCTGCCATTCTTTCAATGATGCAGTCTATGGCGATATCCCTTGGAAAAGATCAGATCCGATGCAATGCATTGATGCCCGGCACCATTGCCACCCAGCTAGCCGACCATGACATGAAGAATCCCACCAAAAAAGCCGCCCTCGAGGCGCGTATTCCCCTCGGTCGCATTGGTGACCCGGAAGATATGGCAGGGCCTGCGGTATTTCTAGCCTGTGAAGAGATGAGCCGTTATGTGAACGCCACTGGACTATTGGCCGATGGTGGAATGTTCAGCAACCTGCAGTGATTCGTAGCCTATTAGCGTTTTCTGCGATATATTCATATAAATAATGCACATGATTAATCAAGATCTTGAAAAATATTTTCATATTCTACTTCTAGTTCATCGAGTCCATCTATGAGAAAAGTTACTGAATATAACGTTGCTATTCCGACTCGGGGCCCTTGAGCAATTCCCTAGGGGTGAAAATCATCAAGTTCAACAAGCGATAACTGTAGGAAAATGTATGGCAATATCTGATTCTTCTATAACAATATCCTTGGCATTAAGAAGTTATTTTTTGATCTATTTCATGATTGTCAAACTTGACATTCCCTTCACGCCTTACCCGCTGACCCACAAATTTCCATCCATTCAATGGTGAGATCCGTCACTTTTTGAATGCCCTCTTCGATAAGCTGCGTATGCGGCATTTTTCCAACGTTCGCATGAAGGTGGTCATAGTAGTTATCCAAGACCAGTCGATTCACGTTGATTTTGGTAACACCAGCGGCCACACAGCGCTTCATTAGCTCTGGGGCGAATCCGTTGGTGCCGTGTAGAGCCAAATTAATTCTGCCATTAGTTTGGGCTTTGACTTTCTCGAATCTAGATTCGACTATTAGCAGTTTGTATATTACAAACAATGGACACTTAGACTTGCCTGCCGAAATCCAGCTGCGGGCCACGCGGACCATATTCACCGTGGACATTGCCAAAAGAAGGGGCGAGAACATCCACTCCCGTGTCAATGAAGTCGTTTACCTCCTCAGAGGTTGTCATACAAGCTTTCAAACCCTCTGTATCCATGACTCCATCCTCTCCTCCTTCAATACGACCTGGCTCGGCTTCCGTGGCCTTTTCGCGTTCGTTGCAATATTGAACCAGTTCCCGGGTCTTCTGCAGGTTTTCCTCCTTTTCGTAATGTGACATATCAACCATAATGCTATCGAATGGGAGTTCTGCTGCACGCTTGATGATTTCTGGGGATTGAGCATGGTCGAGATGAATACTGATAGGTACACTCGAGCGCTTGGCAGCGTCAGCAGCGGCACGTATCAGCAAGCCATCTGTGGATTCGATGGCCCAAGGGAAAAACTGAATAATGAGCGGCGAGCGTGCAGCTTCTGCAGCTTTGACCAGGCCCAAAACCTGTTCGGTGTTGTACGCGATGGCGGCAATGACCCCGTAGTGACCATTTTCCGCATCGCGGAGAATGCGCATATGGCAGTTGCCATCTTTCCAAGACATTTCGGGGTCGTAGAAAAGGAAAAGATAGTATGTAGTTCAGGTCTCTTTCTACATTTTCTGTTGAATCAACTCATATAAGAAAGCGCTGACCCGCGGTACATATGGCCCTTCAAATCGACGATATGAGATGACCCCGAGACGGGGCAAGATCCACCCCACCATCCCCGCGAGCGGGGATTTCAGATCTGGTTTCTATTCAAAATCTCCTTTCCCGAAATCTTGGAGCCATTGAGAGATCTTTGGGCCGTTTTTGTTCTCTTTGTTGGCTTAATTTATTGCCGCATTTGTCGTCTTCATCGACAATTAGCAACCGCCCAATTGCTCACATCGAAGCGGTGCGCGTGCTGCTGGAACTGCATCATGCCCACGAATTCTGAGACTTGCTTTCGGATTCATGATCGGCGCTTTTCAGTAATCGTTGGACCCACACCAACACTAGAGCTTCTGGCAGAGCATCAAGCCTATCCTTTCGCTCACGAGGCTGGAGTATTCTTTCCTGATAGCAACGATCTCTATATCACTAGCAACCGTTGTGTCGGCCCGGATAATGAAAATAAGGTCTATATCACTCGTGTAGACTTGGATCAAAGGCCAGTGGCTTACGAGGAAGTTCCCACGGATATTCCCATGGCCAATGGAGGCATAAACTACGGCCAGAGCGACATTCTCCTCTGCTCGCAAGGCTCCATGGACCAACCGAGTGGTTTATACCGTATGTCCACACGTTCATACGAATCACAGCTATTGAAGAGCGAATTCTTCGGTCGGGAGTTTAACTCTGTCAATGATGTGGTGGTACACACAGATGGCTCAGTCTGGTTCACGGATCCCATTTACGGCTTTGAGCAGGGCTATCGACCATCTCCACGCTTGCCCAATCAAGTTTACCGATGGTGCCCGAATAGTGAAAATATTCGAGCCATGGCCGATGGTTTTGGAAGACCAAATGGTATTTGCTTCTCACCAGATGAAAAGAGGGCTTATATCACCGATACCGATCGGGTTCACGGTGACGGGACGGTAGATGATCAGCGGGTTTCTTCAATGTAAGGGCATACTACCCCGAATTTTTCTTCAATAGGAAACAGCAATACTGATATCAATTCTACCCTAGCTATGCATTCGATATATCTGAGTATGATGGAGAGAAATTCCTCACAAATCGGCGTCTTTTTGCCATGGCGGACCAAGGTATCCCAGACGGCATCAAGTGTGACCTTGAAGGGAATGTTTACAGTGGCTGCGGGGATGGCATCAATGTATGGTCTCCGGGTGGCGTTCTTCTAGGTAGGATCATTATTGAAGGTGGTGTTGCAAACTTTTGTTTCGGGAGAAACGGGGAGATCTTTGCTCTGAATGAGCATCGACTTTGGAGAGTCCAGCTAGGAGCGACTGTGAAGGGAGCATTGCTCGGGTTATAGACATTTTGATAGAATCAAAGAACATGAAAAAGGCCAAATTATATTTCAAACCACTCGATCTGTTATTGAATAGAGCTCATGTCTAAGTTCGCGGCAGCTGCGATTTTTGTCGGCTCATGATCTTCCCAAAGATGCTGCAGTTCTTCGCCTAAAGATCGAGTTGGCCAGCCGCTCCGCTCCCGACTGGATTTTAGTAGCTCCAATATAGCTTCTCGTGCACGTTGGTCTTGAGTGAACTTGCCCGCTATCTTAAGTTAGCTTTAGTCACCTGGTAAAGGGCAGCAAGAACTTACCAATGAACACAGCTTGCGATGACATCAGACTAGATGGGTCGTCTTTTAGTTGAACAGCAATGCCACAGATATTCTCTACACAGCGTTTAATAACACTTTGTCGTTCGAGATACTGCTCCATGCCCCCCCAAGCTAGGCTCATGCGCAAGCAATAGAATCTTTGATACACTGAAGAATTGAAGCGCTACGGCTATATCTTGTGTTAGTCACTTTTCAAGGATCGAACCAGTGTTTTCGTTCATACCAAAGACGGGTGGGTGGACCCAAATTGGTCGAAAGTATGACGACTGCTGGCGTGAGCAGAGTGGCAGTAGAGAAAATTCAATGGTTAGATGCTCTTGCCAATCATCCAACATTTTGTGGAGACAGGTCGCCTCATCAGCTCGCCGTCCGATGTTTGCCCCAACTACGGCCTCAGCAGAGTAGCTGATCACCTTCGCCGTGTTGTATATTGAGCGTGTTGCAAGTTCGTATGGTGACAATGCAGAAAGTGGCTTTTGCGGAACCCAAAATGTAAGAGTTTTGCGTTTCTCTCGGAAAGCCGCCCAAATGTCCTGGCAGAGCCATGCCCACCACACAGCCGAATGCAACCCTCCAGATTCTCCATGAATGGTTTGTGATCTTTGTATTAAGAACACACCTTCTAGATGCCTCTCCCAATCTTTCGTGGAATTATCAAGCATCTCGTAGGCGGAGATGATCAAAGTGGTCGCAAGAAGCTCTAAGCTTCTTTTGTAGCCAGTGTATTGCATAGATTTTTGGACATAGTGAAGGGTCTGGTAGTAATATTGAAGAGCCGAGTCTTCTTGATTTGGGGCGTTAGGGTCATTCAGTCGTGGATTCAAAGCTAGATGTCGACATGCGAGAGCGAGTATAGCATTCATCAGGCCGGCATTGTGTATCTGCAGTTTCCATGTCAGAATTCCAGTAATGGGATTGTCTTCGCAGAATAAGGGTTAGCCTACAGCTAAGTGCGCAACGAGCGTAGAAAATCTGGCCATGGGGTCAAGTAAATCTATCTGTTCAGGTTGAATGTAAGTCACGCCTTCCCAAGTTGAACAGGGCAACCGGAGCATACCCAGGGGCTCACTCGATCTACATAATGCCCAAACAAGGCTGCCTCAGCTGGTAGAAGTTCGATTGGCTCCCGTGACTGCCAAATCTGCTCTTCTTCGAGCGGGCTTTCTTCTGACGAACCAACATGCGTCAGGCCAGGACTCTCGTATATGGAAGGACCATCTAATACTTGAGTCGCACATTGCAGCGGGCTAACTTGAGTTTGTTCATCAGAGCTAGAGTGGTCTAACGAGAGACTCTGGTTCGCCCAGGAATCTTGCGTTGTCCACACTGTTGAACTGTCTCGAGCCGCATCATTCACCAGAAGGCCGAACCATCGTACAGCCGCAAACGAGGCATTGGAAGGTGACAAATAATTTTCTGGAGCAATGAATGGTCTTTCAATTGAATTGATTTCAGCTCCCGTCGATTGATCAAATTCGACAGGCGGAGAGGGGTTGGTATCGAGTGCAGGACTAGGCTCCGCGGGGACAATAGCTTCAGGTGGGTCAAAAATCACATGCTCCGTCTGGGTTGTAATCGATGCATGCTTGTTATTTTTCACTGTGGATGGTATCTCCTCTGCGGATAACTCAGGGGCAGCTTTCGCTAAGGCCCTGTCGGAAATCGAAACGTTGGTGCTGTGGCGGCTCGAGCTGGCGAACTCGCAGGTATTGTCCTTTCTGGCACAAGCACCGCATGTCGGCTTAACTTCGTCGCATTTCAAATGTCGTTTCCTGCATTGCACGCTATATCGACCAGGTCAATATAGTGAGCACGTCAACTTTGGAAGGCAAACAAACGACTTACCATCCGTTCCTCGTTCGTAAGCCGCGACCGCGCGATTTTCGGATGCGTGGCCGCCGGTAAGGTGATCGCAGATGCACCGTTGCGATGCAATCAGAATCTGCATCATCGGCAACGTACTGGTCCAAAGGTAAACTCATCCTTGCGGCAGCAACAGCCACGCTACCCCGTCTCGGGGACGTCGTCAAGTCGTCGAGCGGGATGGGAGGTAAAGAGGGGGGCTTACCTAATCCGGACCTACTCCAGTAATCTGGGGTAAACCTTAAAGCTGGGGGACAGGGAACAGAACTTGTTTATGGAGCACACCACTGCAGTCCACGGGTATGAACAGTCCGTCTCGGGGCTCATACTAGTGTGCCAGGGTAGCGAAGCATAGCGTCAACCCGGATTTTATCCCACGGTATAAAGTGGGTATGGGGAAATAAATAGCTGTCCTGGCCTCAGCAATGAGCGAAGACTATGAGGCATTCGGTTGAATTTTCTCCAGCCTTAACTTGATGTTCAAATCTGCAAAACCATATTTCGGCCTTCGAGGTGGATGGCTGACATTCTGGATCACGTTGGCCTGCGGAGCTGACATGACTCTCTATGGATATGATCAAGTAGGTAAGATCGAATGAGGCCATGTATTGTGCCAGGCTTAAATTCTACTCCAGGGAGTCTTCAGTGGAGTTGTGATCTCGCAAGACTTTCTTAAGCTACATGGTCTTGCAGAGTCCTCAAAAGCGTCTTTGCTAGGAACGGTCGCTGCCATCTATGATGTCGGTTGTTTTCTAGGATCTCTGTCCGCTTACTGGCTTGGAGAACGGCTGGGCCGCAGAAACACGGTCTTGGTAGGGACCATCATCATGACAATCGGCGCTATTTTGCAGGCCTCTTCCTATAGTCTAGGTCATATGATGGCTGGCCGTATAATTGCAGGGATAGGAAACGGTACGCAGAAGCGCCGAAGGCTCTCAAAACACTAAAAATTGACGTGCTTCTTTTTTGCAGGGCTCAACACATCAACTGCCCCCATTTGGCAAGTTGAAACTTCAAAAGTTCAACTGCGAGGAAAACTGGTCATTCTGGAGAATGTCTTAGTACTTGTGGGATTCTCACTTGCTAATTGGCTTAATTACGGTCTTTCATTCGCAAATGGACCAGTCTCATGGCGATTTCCCCTCTCATTTCAACTCATCTTCAATATCATCTTATTTTGTATAGTACCATGGCTCCCCGAGTCCCCCAGGTATCAAACTATTCTTGCCCCTTGTGAGTGCTGTGACACTAATTCTGCAACAGATGGCTTGTTGCCCATGGTCGCCCAGATGAGGCTTTGCAAATTATTGCAGATCTTGAAGACAAGGATAACAGTGATCCTTTTGTTCAGCTACAGATGAATCAGATTCAATATAGCGTGGACTATGAACAAGCAAACAGTGTTAGCTTCGGCGATATTCTACATGGGCGAGCGCATGAAAAAGCAGGCACAAAGACAGTTCGCCGGCTTATTCTTGGAATGGGTACTCAGGCAATGCAGCAGTTCTCGGGAATTAATGTGACCTCCTATTATTTGCCAACGGTACTAACAAAGTCTGTGGGACTAGATGAATCTTTAGCAAGACTGCTCACGGCCTGCAACAGCGTTCAATACCTTCTCTTCTCTATGATCGGCATTCCCAACGTCGAGAGATGGGGACGCCGAATGCTTTTGATGTTTGGCGCAGCAGGAATGTGCTTCTGCTATGTATTCATCACAGCTTTGATTCGATACAACGAAATGCCCGGGTATGCTCATCGGGAGGAGGTGGCTTCAGCATCCGTGGCCTTTTTCTTTTTGTATTATGTGTTTTTCGGCATCGGCATGCAAGGAGTGCCATGGTGTAAGTTTCATACTATCAGAATCAAGTCCACTTTACGCGAATTCTCATGCTCATTAATGGTATAGTATACCCAACCGAAATTAACTCACTCACGATGCGGACGAAAGGTGCTGCACTTGGAGCTGCTACCAACTGGATTTTCAATTTCATGGTGGTCGAAATTACTCCAATCGGCATTGAGACTCTAGGCTGGCGTTTTTATATTGTTTGGACCGTTCTTAACGCAGCTATGATACCTGTAATCTATGTCTTTTATCCGGAGACGGCCGGCCGCAGTCTGGAGGATATGGACGACTACTATCGTGGCAACCCCCCTCTTTTCGCATGTCTTGACAATGAAGCAATCTCTAGCAAACGGCCCAAGAGATACGAAGCTCGAGATGAAAATATTATCCGGGAAAAAGAAGAACCAGTGGAGCATTTGGAAATTACTTAGAAGATTAGAAGATTGAGGCCTCAAATCAGGATACTTGATTTTTAAATAGTTCTGCTAGAATCCGTGATCAATTCAGACAATGAGGAATACACTTTTTACTTCCTATCATTCACACCGAGTCATGTTCATCTCTGTAGTCTTTTGGATATTCTAATCAGCAGCACTTTGGTAGACAGCCTAGTATACTCGTAAAGAGAATCTAGACGATAGAAGCTCTAACACTTGATCGCGACAAATGTGATCTCAAACTCCCATGTGAAATGCCGCCCCAGCCACCACGTCAGAAAACAGTGCAGTATATTGCATAGTAGATGCATCACTGCGAGATGATATTTACAAGCACAAACCATCTGGCTTCTTCCACCCATGCAAGCCAAACAGCCCATTAAAACCTTTTCGAGAGGCGTCTTCAGTTGTAGATCTAACTTGCTCAGGAAACTTGGATGGTACATATGCATTGTTATCACTGGTACCAGGTCGCAGGTTATTTCATGCATCAAACAGATCCGGGACATAATGCGGGGTCCTGTCTCTATAAATTACAGCTCGTCTCCGTCTCGGTGTCCCCGTCTCGGGCAATTCAACCATCATTTCCCTGTTAGATTTTATTCTGACCCCTCCAGACATTTGATCTATCGCATGCATATGAGAGGTCCGAATATAAAACGGTACTTATCGAATGGCTTTGTAACTTCTTACTACGTTATCCCTTTATATCTTGACATACCCACTACCACTCAAGTAACTCATTCACCTGCCACTGGGCACGTGCAGCCTCGGAACTTCCAAATAGTAGTTCTTTAAATCGACAATGGAGAGACCCAATCATTTTGATCTTCCCCCTCTTATGCGAGCTCTGGGTTTGTAACAAATTTACAGCAGCATCTCTAAGAACTAATCAAACTGATATGAACACACGATTTTATAGAGTACAATGAAGCTCGAAATTTCAGCATCGTTGAGAAGCGTCTTCCGATCATTCGCGAACAAGATATCTTGGTACGCCGCACGCAAAATGCTCAACACTTTGGCATCTAATACTTGGTAGATCAAAGTCAAGGCCTGTGGAATTTGTGGTACAGACCTCCATATTCACGATGGCGAATTTGGAGCTCAGGTAAGCCAATTTGCAGATTTCATGTAGGAGATTTCTGAGATAATAGAACACAGTTTCCCCTTGTCCCTGGCCATGAAACTGTAGGTGTGGTTGCAGCATTTGGGAGCGGGGTTGTGGATTTCAATGTTGGAGATCGTGTCGTGGCAGACAACTCTGAGTTGTGTGGACACTGTCATTACTGCCGCCGAGGCAAGGAGCTCTTCTGCGAGAACTTTATCGCCCATGGAGTTATGGTCGATGGAGGATTTGCGGAGTATGCTACGTACCCTGCAAACCGTGTCTTCAAATTCAAAAACCTCTCAGATGTGGATGCGACATTGCTGGAGCCCGCAGCCTGTGCAGCCCATGGACTGGATAAGATTGCCCCTCAAATGGGATCCAGCGTGCTTTTATTTGGCGCGGGCCCGACAGGACTTATCTTGGCCCAGCTCCTTCGTCAAAACGGTGGGTGTCACACTGTAATTGCTGCACCGGCTGGGTTGAAGATAGAGCTTGCCAAGTCTCTCAACGCTGCCGATGAATTTATCGAGCTACCCCGCGATGCAAATACAGTGGCCGCTAGAATGGAAGAACTTCGAACAAAACACCCGTATGGTTTTGACATTGTCGTTGAAGCTACAGGCAACGCAAAAATTCTGGAAAATTCCATCAACCTCGTGACAAAAGGTGGCAAGTTGGTGGTATACGGAGTTTATGGTGACGACAATCGCGTCTCCATACCACCGAATAAAATCTTTAAAGAGGAAATAAACGTGATAGGGTCATTCAGTCAGACCTATAAGTTTCCAGCTGCTATCGACTATCTTGGTCAGTACCTCCCTGTCAATAAGACTGATCCACCATTAACAAATAATGAACCAGCAGATGGAAATCGGATTAATATTAGTGGAATTGTTAACAAGACCTACAAACTGGAGCAATGGCAGGCTTGCCTCGACGCATTGGAGAACAGGTCGGTGATTAAAGCTGCACTTGTGTTCGACTAGTACTAGTTAGTAGCCGATCAAATACAATCTACTACTAGTATCCTCGAGGCGGGCTTACAAGCACGGAAAATGTTATTTTTGTTTCAAAGAACTATAACTCATTAAAAACAATTTCCAAAAACAAGCACTGGTGGGAGATGGGATAGCATTGTTCGATAAACTTGCAGTTTAGATAAATTGGTGACGTCATAACGATTGTAACTGAGATCCTGGAATCCGATTGGCTGGAAATACTCACATCCGTCCAAATAAGGTTTCAACCAAAATCCATAGCTTAGGATCATTTAATTCATATAGGCTCGCACGTTAATATTCGTCAGGGTAACTGCGGATATCTGTTGGTGCAGTTCCTAGGTTCCAACGAAGTTGAGGACTGACAATATTCGGACCCAGCTGATCTAATTGAGCAGAACCGAACACACCATGCAACGCACCGTCTATCTATTCGGCCACCCTATTGCCCACTCCGTTTCGCCAGCCTTCCACAACACTATATTTCAGAATGTAGGCTTGCCGTGGCGGTACATCAGACTAGATTCTGAGCGCACGGAGGATTTGAAGAGTCTCATGTGTCGGGAAGATTTTATCGGCGCAGCTGTCACAATGCCCAACAAAATATCGACAATGGATCATGTGGACATCGTGACTCCGGAAGCGAAATCAATTGGATGCATCAACACAATATACACACGGCCAAATCCGGAAGGAAGTGAATTTGAAAAGAAACCACTCTACATCGGTACAAACACAGACTGGATCGGCATCCAGCGAGCTCTCCTCGACGTGGACCCTGGCCTTCCAAAACATCTGGCAAAGCTCCCAGCGCTGGTAATCGGCGGAGGTGCAACTTGCAGATCTGCAATTTATGCTCTTACGGAGGGACTTGGCTCTAAATTGGTGTATCTGGTCAATCGCGATCCGCAGGAGGCCAAATTTGCTATCATGGCCCTGAAGCAAGAGGGTTTGCAGCAGGAAATTCATTACTTGGAGAGTATCGAGGATGCACAATCAATTATGGAAAAACCTATTGTCGTTGTCAGCGCAGTTCCTGATATCCTTCCCAAATCAGAACTTGAACATACCGCACGGAAGATTGCGACCTCGATTATCCAGGCCGAGACCGGCCACACATCTCCTCGGTTATTTCTAGAAATGTGCTACGATCCGACACCTATGACGTGGCTGGCGACTCTAGCGCAGAAATTTGGTTGGAGTATCATCGATGGACTTGATGTCATGGAGCATCAGGCTATTGAGCAATCTGTTCTATGGACTGAAAGACCACTTCAAAGCTTGCCCACGGAATTGGCTAACAAGGCGATCCGTGAAGCTCTTCGACGATGATTCTGCAGGTTCAAGTTTGAATGTCAATTTGGAATCATGGGTTTCAAAATATAGTCTAGTAAAATGTCATGGAATTTACTTTTGCTACAGTTGTATGACTCACGTTGAGGATAGTATGTCCTAGGCAGAGTTATTGAGAACCTGAAGCTACCAAGATCTTTGAAAGGCGCCATTTCATTTGATAGATTTGAAATGTATTTGAAATGGATTTGAAATCTCATATAACTTGAATGTACCGATAGATGAAGTATGTTGTGCGTGCCTGGGGTTACAGGCACCTACATGGCCGAGTCAGCCCGCACCAGGGTTATGTGTAGATAGTTCCAGGCCTAGATAGCTTCATTGGATTATCATCTTTTGCACTATCATCCGATCTCCTTCCTTGTATGGTATTATCCCGTACCCTCTAGTAAAGTATTTAGTCAACCTATCAAGACCTCGGATCACAAAACTCATCAAAGTCGTTTGCTGAATTTGCAGTGAATCCAAGGTTAAAGAGCCCTTCTTCCCAAGTAGTTGTCCTGGAAAGGTCAGTATTGTGAATTTCTGAAATTAAATGATTGAGTTCTTGCCATACCATTCAGATGTATCAATGGTGACAAATTCATTGAAGACAGAATTGCTATCTACCATTGGTTTGAAGTTCTCTACCTCAGGATTCAGGTCAGGGGAAGCGTCAGTTCCAGGTTCGGGTTCTTGAAGCCCAGGCCTGAGGATCTGACCAAGCTTCGGAGTTCGTTGTCTCATATCTTGGGGGCTCTCGGCATTCTGCCCTGTTATGATATGACCCTCAGCCAGCGCAAGTTCACGAGTAGCCGATATCTGTGGTACAATGCCATTATCGCCAATATTGAGGGTCGATCTTTTCTTCGACACGATGGCAGCAATCAGGGATACAGTTGGCGCTGTTGCATAAACATCAAAGCTGCTTTTTAACTTTTCGATCGTCAACTCAATTTCAGCAATACAGGCTGAAATTGGAAATGATGGAGAAGACGGCCCCTCATTTCCCACAAATTGAGATGAGCGAGAACCCAGTTCGGCAAAAGCGACCAGGTAAACTAGCCTCAAGTGATAATGATTCGGTAGCATTTTATCCTCCGGCAGGTTCGATGTTCCGGGCTCTCTTAAAATGATATCAAGGGGATGAGCCTTGTTTCCCACTTGGAGACCTTCCATGGCCTCTTTATGAGAGGCCAACCTGCCATGAGTCCTTGCGGTTGATATCAAACTCAGCACTTTGCATATTTTGACAAGTCGATTAAAAGTGCTGATTGTAAAAAGTGGAAAATATGGGCGCTGGAGCGGGCGCTCTGTGTTGAGAGGATCATACCATTGGTCCCACTCATCTAGACCATCCTCGTCAGCATTAGTCATTGGATTGACGTCCTCTGCTCGGAGGTGCGGCGGCCGGCAAAGATGAAAAGCGATCAAAGTGTCTAGTACAAAGCATCCGAGAGACGTTCGACCTTCCAGCACTGTGGTCCGTCGTGGCCAGAAGCTTTGATCTCCCCCGGAGCTGCGTGGGGTTATTTCTAAATCCAACGCTATGCGTACAGCCTCCCCAATAAGTAGCCAGGCTGGAGACCATGCAGATTGGTCTATCTTTATCAGACTCAAAATGAGCAGAGACTGAACATGTTCAATCTCAAAAGGTCCATTCTCAGATGGGATCATCTCCCGAGCTTTCATATAGTAGCATGTGACAACATGCTGAGGCACAGTTTCAGATCCAAGAAATTCAGCAAGACGACCGGACTTCATAAGCTGGGATATCGTCAAAGCAGCTATAGCCCATATTAGGGCTATAGATCCGGGCGTTTCATTGTTTTCCTGCTTGTCATCAGGGAAATAATACGATGAACGCATAACATTACCTTTTTCCACAATTGGAAACCAACAATGAGTCTGAGAGAAGTATATTTGTATCAAACCACTTAGTTGGCTTGTCATATTGAGCTCACTTGTAGTCGCTGAAACCTGTCGTTGTCGGGGAGCCATCGTAGTTGACTCCGCAGGAGGTCGATCTTCTAACATAGTCTGTTCCGCCGATTGACTTCGAACTCGAGGGCCAACCGGGTGAGTAGATTCTTGCTCCTCTTCGGGCTGCCCGGAAGTATTATTCTGATCTGGGAGCTGAGGGGTTGATCTGCGAGCCCAAAAACGCCTTGGGCTATCAGGCGGAGGTTGCCTATCTTCCAGCTTTCGCTTCGAAGTATTCGATTTGGGAGAGGGTAAAAAAGGCAGCAAATCTTCGAGCTCAACTGATAGCTTGCTATTTCTCCATTCGTCGAGAAGATTTTCGAAATTAGACTGCCATTGAAAGGAATTCTCTCTGCCCCTCTGCAATAATCGCGATAGAAGGCGTTCCTCAAAGTCGTCAATGTAATGTATTGCCAAGCTGGTCAGAAGCTCTAACCCTCGGACATAGCCTTCGGGTAAGCCGCGTCTTCTCGTGTGAGGCTCATATGTGCACATGGAATTCGCTTGTAGGCATGTTGAACACCCCGGCCGCTGTCCGTCGCATTTGAACTTTCGCTGGCGACATCGTTGACAAGCCTGCGCAACACGCTTGCGAGTTTTGCTGATACCCATATTAACAAAGATGTAATAGGAGCTCGGCGTATCTCAGCCTCAGCTAGAAGATGAAAATAGAGATGAAAATAAGCTTAAGACAAAAATGAGTTCGTCATCCAATGCTCTCCAATTGTCCTTTGAGGCGGAAAGGGCGTGGTCAAGATCTTGCTGTATCGCTATGGGGGCTGTATCTCGACGGGGGCATCTGTGGGCCTGTCTAGGAACTTCGGAAGAGAGCTACTAGTAACAGACTTCCCGGAATAGTCAAATAGGTAAGATATTGATGTGGTGTGTTCGTGGCAAAATCGCCCAGAAGGGGTTCGGACAAAAAGGAAAATGTCATACCCGATGACATAATTGACCCTTCTATCACACGCTTGGGGAAATGGCGGTGCACAGACTTAGTGATACGAAGCAGCGTTCGGATGTCAAAGTTTTTTTCTGTTTTTTATCGGAGATCATTGAATTTCGGAAATTTTGAAACCAAAGCTGCTTTTTCTCAGCATTCACACCTCTCAGCATTCACACCCGACCGACGCCTTTAAAGCATTGCGCTACATATTCATGCAACAATGATGGGTCTCAAAGATTCAGATCCTAATTGCTCTCATGTGAGCCCATCTATTGTCCTAATCGGCTCACGTGGGTGTGGCAAGAGGACATTGGCATTTATTGGAGCTCTCCACTTGGGTAAAAGGCTTCTGATCGCAGACCGGTTCTTCGAGAACCTGACCGGTCTGTCCCGGATTGAATATCTTCAAAAATATGGGGAAAGAGCTTTACAGCAACAAACCGTGAGATCAGCTCTCACGATGCTTCAGGAGAATCAAACGGACTGTGTCATTGAGTGCGGAATCAGCAGCCTCGGTACCGAAGTCCAGAAATTTCTCGCGGAATACAAGAAGTCTCACCCGGTCATTTACATACTACGTGAACCTGATGAGATTAAGAATCTTTTGCGGCTGTCTGAAGCAGATTCGAACCGTTTGAGGGCGGAAGATTCAAAGCATCGCGTTTGCGCGAACTACGAATATTACAATGTCTATGATTCCGCGTCTCGGTCGAATGAATCTGACATGGGACTTTCATATTCTGCGTATCACCTTAACGACGCAAAGCTTGACTTTTGCCACTTCATGAATCTCATTGTTGGCCCCGGCATGGAGGCGATGTCAAATGCTGCATGGCCCTCCGACGTCACATTTGGCTCGGTAGAGAAACGACAATACAGCTACGCGCCTGCTCTGAGACTTTCAGAGCTCAGTGATAGCGTCTTTGAGGCGGCTTTGCTTGGGGCGGGGCTGGATGCCATTCGACTGATTGTCGATATGAAAGAAGAATATTCTCTTGACTCAATAACAAATCATATAGCTTTGCTTCGACGTGCAGCTCAAGTACCCATTGTTTATGAAGTCCTTCGCCCGAGAGATGATTCATCAGAAACCAACCTCACTACGGATAGCGACTACCTACAGCTCCTCTCTCACGGCATTCGAAACTGCGCTGAGTATATTATGATCGATCTAAATCTTCCAGAGGCGACCCTAAGAGATTTCATATCGCTGAAAACACATACGAAAATTATCGGTAGCCATCACGATGATAGCCCCGGTATGAACGGGTGGCGAAGTGAAACTCGATATGAGATGTATCAAAGGGCTCAGAATTTGGGATGTCATCTTGTCCAGTTGACTCAAGCCGCGGTGAGACACAAAGATAACGATGATCTCATTGGTTTTACCTCCTCACTCTCTCTATCTCGAGAAGTCCATTTGCCTCTGATTGCCTATAACACCGGGCCATTGGGACGAAGCTCCTTGGTCTTCAACAAAATTTTGACGCCAGTGCGACCTGCGGTATTACATGACACCAGAATGGAGGACTACATCACGGCGCAGGAAGCAATCAAAGGACTATTCGCGACCTTCATTTTCGATTCGCTGAAATTTTATCACATTGGAGCGTCTGTTTCATGGAGTCCTTATCCACCTGCTATGCACAAGGTCGCTTATCACGCACTTGGTCTTCAGCATTCATACCAAGTCTTTGAGACCGCATCTCTTGAAACTCTCGACGAAATCGCCCGTGCTCCCGAATTTGGTGGTGCAAGTATAAGCTTACCATTCAAAGCTAGTATTCTGGCTTCCATCGACTTCAAAAGCACCCACGCCACGGCTATTGGAGCTATAAATACTCTTCTTCCTATAAGAGATCCATTGGAAGTGCAATCTGGCATTCTTGAATATCAAGCCTCCCAAAGAAACCAGGCGGGCCCGGTCATTGGCTGGTATGGCGATAATACTGACTGGCTAGGTATACTTGAATGTGTACAAAGAAACCTGTCTCCGAGAAACACTATCCGGTCTTCCAAAACAACTGCGCTTGTGATAGGGGCCGGTGGAGCTGCCCGAGCTGCTGTGTACGCGCTAATTCAGATGGGCTGCCGGAAAATTGCAATCTTCAATCGTACATTCGAGCATGCAGAGCAAGTTGCCACCCATTTCAACGCATGGGTGGATCACAATTTCGGTATCGCTGATGCTATCACTGTGATTCAATCTATCAGCGAAGACTGGCCTGCTCGCTTGCAACCGGCGACAATAATCGTATCCTGCATTCCGGCGCACGGAATAGGTGAAAATCGTCCAGCAGATCTTACTCTTCCGGGTAATTGGCTGCGAAGCAAATCTGGGGGCGTTGTTGCTGATGTAAGTACCTTGAAGGCAGTTTGAATGAACTATACTAACCATAACTTTTTCTGGTCAGCTTGCGTACCGACCACTCGAAACCCCTCTGCTTAAACAGATTCGAAAGCTCAGGGCCGGATCTAGTATCCCTTGGAACACTGTGGACGGTCTAGAGATGCTGGCAATTCAAGCAATGCATCAATTCGAGTTAATGACAGGGAAAAAGGCACCGCGGGCGGTCATGAAGAGCCAAGTGTATGGTCAATAGAGATTTCAATGTACATAAAGCGAATTGAATTTCAATTGCGCAGTGTTTCTCTAAATAGTATGTATTCCATTCTCTAGTATCTCTATATTTCAATCTTCTCTCCATCCATCCAAGCTTTGATTTGCTCATACAAAATATCATGCTTTTGCCGGTTCGCTGTGTCTATTTCCCGGCGATGCCCAGGTAAATCCTTGATAACTTTCACGCCCATTGTTATCTCTTGACAATACCCAAGGTAGCGATAACCGACTGGAAACTCGCTCAATTTCTGCAAATCCAGTCTCGGCACTCTGTTTGGATTCACCGGGATCAGCTTGTCTTTTTCGTAGAAATGTCGCACGAAATTAGCTCCCCATTTGCCTGTCGAGATGTCTTTGCTCCAAAAAAATACAAATCGACAGTCGGACTCAGCATCGGCCTCGATACCATCCAGATCAAAACGTTGAGTTATGGTTGCCTTCATCTTCGTAACTGCAAGGGTGGCAGAAACGTTGATGTCCGTAGATAACCCATGGATCCGGTGCATAATGAATGCCCCATTGTCCATTCCATTTTGTGAGGCCTGGATGAAGTCCATGTAATGGGTTCGCCCAGTCCATGAAGTGTAGATGTACGCATCTTCGAAAAAGATTGATTTCAAATTTTCCCATTCACAAGAGTCCCTATTATACCGAGCTGCTTAGTATTTCGAATAAAGAGAACTTCAAGCGACATTTACCGGTAGCAAGGCCAGCCTTCCGCCAGCTCGCGTATCTTGTAGCGCTCGATTACCAGGTCCACCGGACCGTTGTTGCGGATGGCCGCGGAAGGACGAGAGCCCTCGGGGAGTGTGTGGAGATCAGGCATTAGGACTTTTGGTTTCAAATATGAGAGATTGCGCCGTTGGGAATTCCAGAAGGTATCATTCGTATTATATTCAAAGTGTTCCATGGCCGAGTAGTTCGCCACGCTGGCTAAGACCTTTCCCGTACTGCGCTCACCAGTATTAGTAGTAGAAATCACAAGATACAGATATGAAGAATGAAGATTTATAATCTATGTGGATGATGGAATAGCCGAAGACCAGCCTGCAGTTGATTCTTCGGGTTTAATATGTCAAATACATCAAAGTGTCCAATATCTCCAACTGCAATTCGCACAACAGGTCGGTGAAGAGCCTGGGATATTTCTTTCATGTTCAATAATAAAACATGAGGCCTTTCAACTCTGAAGATTATAATTTGTTGAATCTTCTAACAATTTTTATTTCTCTCTTTAGAAATAATATCAACAGAAACGCTGTTTTACCTCCTAGGTATACCTACTAGGTACTGGTATTAGAAAGTACATGAATCCCCTCTTGTAAAGTACTATATTTTATGTCAGCGGCTGCTAATCAGGGGAAGCTAGATCTGGAGGAAGGTAATTAGAGAGAGATGGTGATTTCAAGAGAAGAGAGAGAGACGAATCTATCTAAGGCAAGGGCGGCCTGGATGCCTGAGGCGCTGGTGCCTAGGCACCAGCCCTCAACAATTTCTGCGTCTCTGACACTTAAAAATAAGCACTATTCTAAGTAGATGTCAAGTACACCTTGTAGCTTTTTCCAAGACTCGCTTCCCCTCTTGGCATGTTCCTTTGGTGTACCCGGACTCGAATCTGCCATTGTCCTAGAAAATAACTCGAGTGACACCCAGCCCTCATATCCCAGTTTATCGAACATAACACGAGCAATCTCGACAACTGGTAAATAACCACCCCTCTCTTCTTCCAGAGCAAACAGTCGGCAATTACGGCTCCATGACATTCTCGCAGGTTGCTCAGGTACATAATACTCATGTCCTTCGACCAAAGGTCGACTGAGACGCTCAGCATCAACAACCTGGACATAAAATACTTTTCGTACATCCACTCTTTCCACCAGGCGGTTCATAGAGGCTTTCAAAACTGCATCAGCACTAGGATTCATACCGTCAAGAGAGGCTGGATCGGCCCAGATACGACCAGCGATGTTGAATGTATCCAAGCAACAGCCAAAGTTGGGCCGGTCTACTCTCTCGACAACATCCCACATTGCCTCCCATGTGTCGACGTAAGTGCCCCAGGCTAGATTTTCATAGACAAACCGGAAATGCGGTGATTGCTGTAGCCCCATATCCGCCAGCTGCCTCATATCCTGCGCGATAATTTCGATATCCGAGGTGATCAATTCGGCTGGCAGGAAATTTGCGGGTATTTGGATAAGGTCGGTCCGAAGGATCTTCACGAGCTCAAACCAACCCTTGAGCTTTTCTATGCGTCGGTCATGCTCGACTCGATCTTTCAATCCCTCGTAGAAAAGGAATGGTTGAAGACAGATGATGGTCATATTGTACTTGTCGCAAAGATCTCGGATCATTTTTGCGGCTGAGAGTTTGTGTTGAAAAGTGGTTTCATCTTGGGAAATGGAATCGGCAAGACTTTCTAGATCTTCAAAAAAGATCTCAATACCCTGGAATCCATGTGCTGAAGCTTGTGAGAGCTTTTCTTCCATTTCATGTCCAGCCCAGGCACGTCCAAGGGACATTGACGAAATACCCAACTGATTCGGCATGATGATGATGAGGATGAGGCCACGACTTCCAAGATTTGACGTCTGCTTCAGATATATAGAAGCGCGTGCCGATAATAATAGTAAGATGCGATGTCCAACCTTGAAAGGTTGATATGTCTTTTCAAACGCCTCCGGGTCTTATTAATTTTCAGGTCGAGCCATAGACATCCCATTATCAGGCTTCAAGTGGGGCATTGGAAAACGGGGAAATTCATACCCTTTCATCATACCTATGTAGCCGCTTCAGAATACCCACTTGGGCATGTTGGAGACTTTACCCGTTCTAAGCTCCAAAATTACAATTATACTGTTGGTGGAGCACACCTGAGCATTCTAGATTCTAGATTCAAAATCCTGTACGTAGAGTGCCACCTACCTACTTAGGTAAGTACCTCTAGAACCACGAGTAGTAACTAGTACATATTAGTAAGTCAGGGAATTCAAGTTCGATCCCCAACACAGCTCCGAGGTTCAGGTTCAAGCTGATGAGAGTAATTGTACCTTGGTAATACGGATTTCAACCATGAATTCCGGCCTTTTATATCTCATATCTTCTCATACCTTGGTATCTACGTTTATCAAATCTCCAATTTATTCCCTCGTAGACTCCCTACCAAGAACGTATTCCCTTCGCTCGACCCCCCACTCCGGCAAAACAACGGACAAAGGCAAAGGCCCACCCAGCTCACCCTGAAAAACATCCGGATCAATAGTACGAATCTTAGCATCCCTCGGCAAACGTAACCCCTCCTCATCCGGCAGCCCTTCCGATTCCATCCTATCCATTTCAGCCAGAATCCCAGGCGACGCTTGCTCACGCAGTAATGCCCAAAAGTCCTGATCGGATAACTTCCACAACGCCTCTTCTTCCACACGGCCCGAATAAACCAGGTCCCTAATTATCGACCCGGTCCTTTTATACAGATCTGCCTGGGCCCTATTGGACCATACGTCTCGATCTGTGGCTTGGTATGCGCGAGCGAGGACGAGTGCATGGTCTTGATTCGTCAAAACGAGTAGGCGGTTCGGAGAGGAGGCGGATGGGAAAGCAGTCAGAGACTGATATATGTCTCGGACGTGGTCGAGGCCAAGTTTTTCAAAGGCCAGTGCATCGCGAAGCGCGTAGTCGAGCCGATCAGCGCAAAGATGCGGTGAGGGCATTTCAACCAGGCGGAATAACTCTTCGTCCAGGGCCTTGAGAGTGCCAAAACCGTACTGGATGAGAATTTGGGGTAGTTGGGTGGTTTTCAAGAATCGGGATTTGTGCACTTCGTGGTAGCTTGCTTCGCCGGGTTTGGATAGCGCGTCGTCAACGACATGGCTGAGGCTTGTGTGGCTGATATCATGTAGTAAGGCGGCGATCTGCTCTTCGACGCTGGCGCCGACTGCGCGGACTAGCAGGAATGCGCCGACGGAGTGCTCGAAGCGGGTTACTTTGGGGCCGAAGCCGAGGAATGTGGTCACTCCGTGTTGACAGATGCCTTTCAGGCGCAATAGCTCGGGGCTTCGAAGTAGATGTATAAGCACGGGCTCGGTGATGTTGTGCGTGCCGTATATTTGGTCTCGGATGATAATTTCCGTCTCGGAAATCGTCTCGAATGTTTGGAAGACCCCTGTCTGGAACGGTAACGCCATTGTTGAGAGTTGATGGTGCTAAATCGAGAAAGTCGAGCGCGGGGTAAGAGCCCCCATATGTTACGGGTATAATCTGTACCCGTAACAGGTATGTATATCCGCCCTACTTTACCTCAGGTATACCGTACCTAGGGTATGGGTACAGGACCCTGTACCGGTGGTATACTCGTTTACCAGGTCTAGTCCTCTTATAGAGCATTTACCATATTTACGAGTAGAAAAAGTATTCTTCCTAGCTATTTAGAAGAGACTGTTTCCATTTTACTATTATTACCACATAGACCTACACAGCTTTGAATTTAAAGCCCGTTGTTACGAAGAATTATTAGTATACATATATCAACTTCAATAAGTGCAATGTAACAATTGATACTCCGCCAACAACCTCAATAGTAAATCTAGATACTTTGGAACAGTGAGTATTTTGGAGGGTATATTATCAAGATTTACGGACCTTGAATGCCAGCGGGGGATAAATCGGCTTCATATGCTTGATACACACACACACACACACAATTCATTAACGCCCGGCGGCGAAGCCGAAAGGGCAACTATCACTAATCTACTAATACATTTCCTTAAATATGCCTTGTCTCCTTAGAGCCCATACATGATTCCTTCCAGTATATGTCATCTCGGGTGTCAATATCGATCGAAGTGGGGTCTCGTGGGTAAGTATTTTGTTAGTAAACTGGCTTGAAGGCGATTCTCCAAGTGTTCAACATCCTATTCTCGGCAGTTGAAGCGTGTTTACCGTCTCTGGCACGAGGTGGTTGATGTGGGTTAATTTGGGGAGGGGTTCGTTTGTGTTGGTCGACATGGTCAGGTGGCGTCCAGTCGGCCGGTGGCTATTGCAAACCGTATTGAGGCTCGCACTGCTTCCAAGTTCGGTTTCCAGTTCTCGCCATCCAAAGGCGACTTTCCACCCAGGAAAAAAGATATGTTGCCTCGATGAGTATGGGTACATTGCAGCATTTCCATCCTGTGCGTGGTCCACTTCTGACATCGAAAGAGGAAGTGCTCCACGGTCTCTCTTGCTTGTCCGCATGCACATTGATCTGTCTCTGCGACGTTGATTCGAAAGAGATATCCATTGAGTCTTGCCATGCCCGTGCGGAGCTGGGCCAGCACGCTCGCTTCTTTCCACGATAATCGGTCATACAGCTGTCGCGTGTGTTTGCCTGGAAGTGCTGTATCCACTCGCCGGGAGTGTCTGCCTACGTTGTCGGGCAGCTCACTGCTGGGGGGGAGCTTGAGACCGCGCAAGATTCAGAGTTGTCGACTTCATCCTAGGGACCTGTTTCTGCGTAACGGCGTCTTCTTGTGTTGCGGCTCGGGCCTGTTCTTGCGCCAGACCTAGCAGATTGTTGTCTTCCTTTCTGGGAATCCACAGGACGCTGATCCGATTTCCATTCTTCTGCAGTCTTCTCAATAGCTTGTAGATTTGGCAGACAAATTCTTGACCCGACTGTTGTCGAGGGCTCTTCAGCGTGAGAGCCACTGCTTTGTTACTTGTGGTCAGTGTGATCCTAAAATCTTTCAGTCCCACGAGTGTCTTCAATGTGTGCACCATAGCCGCTAGCTCTGCGGAAAATAGATTTTGTTCTGTTCTCGCACCCAACGTGACGGAAAAGACCTTCAGTCTCACTTTCCGATAGCGAGGTGGTTGTTTCTCGATCGCGACCCCGAATCCCACCAGCTCATTCCGTGACGAGCTGCTGAAAGCGATTTGCATCGATCCGCCTGGTGCAGTCGATGTCTGGGGAATAGGCTCATTCTCAGTTTGCACGCGTGCTTCCCATGGTGCCAGTGCAAACGGATTGATGGTTTCCAGCGATTCCATCTCAATGTTTCTCAGCGCGTCCGCTACCTGATATAATGGTGAGCGGTGGTACCTCCTGAATTTCCTGATCCGATCTGTGTTTCTGCGAAGAGGATTGGTTTCTGGTAGTGTGTGGATGTCTGTCCACATCTTCACGGCTCGTCTCCAGAGACGGTGTTGTGCCGTGGCAATGTGGGCCTCGGCCTCCGCTACGCTGGTCGCAACTGTGAGGAATGTTCCCACAATTGCTTGTGCTCCTACCCTTTGCACTCGATTGATCGGTCCGATGTTCTTATTCTTGAATGCGTGCATCCAGACATTGGAGGCGTAGTCAACCACCGGGGCCACCGTCGATGTAAATAGCTGCCGCGCTGTCGCTGGGGCTAGACCTCGAAGTCGTCGAAGCTCTATCGCTGCCTCCAGGCCTTTGGATGCTGCTCTCGCGATGTGTTCCTTGTATTTGAGTCTCGTATCCATTATGACGCCAAGAATCTTGACATGATCACTGGGTTCAACGGTCTCTCCCTTAATGGTGAATGGCCCCGAGTCCGATTTGTGGGCCTTGGGGGTGAAGTGTATAATCGCGGTTTTCTCTGCTTCAAAAGTCGCTCCACTTCTTCTTTCCCAGTCAAGTGCTTCATTGATGATTGCTTCGATACCTTGCCGGTTGCTCTGCGCAGTCGGTCCGGTCACCCACGCGGTAAAGTCATCCACAAACGCGATTGCTCCACCCTTGCCATCGATCTGTCGCTGTACGAGGTCTGCGTTAAAGAAGAGGAAGAGGATTGGGGACAGGGGTGATCCCTGAGGTAGTCCCGCCTGTGGGAGGCTTCGGGCCTCAGATGCTTGCCCGTTGACTTGAATAGTCGCTGTACGTTCCGAGCAGAATGCCTCGACCCAGCGGAGAAGACCCTCCGGTATGCCTCGTGCCTTCATTCTCTGGAGCAGTCGCTCTTTGCAAACCCCATTGTAGGCTCCCTTAACATCGAAACTGACCAAGCTCAAGACCCGTCGGCCACGCCATGCCGCATAGATTTGCTCTTGTAAAAGTAAGAGTGCTTGCTCCGCTGATCGTTGCTTACGGGCCCCGAAGTGGCTGGTCGGGAGCAGACCGTAGGTCTCCACCTCGTGAGAGATTCTTTCTGCGATAACTGATTCCAGCACCTTGCCCAGTGTCGCAAGGAGTGAAATCGGCCTCCAGGCCTTCGCAATTGTATAGTTCTCTTTGTTCGGTTTTTTGAGCGGTATGATCTTCGCATGTCTCCACTGCTTGGGCAATGTGCCTTCTTCTAGCGACGCTTGGAATAGCTCCAGGACCCCGTGCTTGACCACGGGCCATATCATCTTCCACACTACCGCCGGTAGGCCATCTTCACCGGGTGCTTTCCAAGACTTTGTCGCCAACAGCTGCCGTTCGACCTCTTCCATGGTGATAGCAGACATCTCCACGGGCGCTCTCTGCGGCCTCGTCCCTTCATCGTCAATTCTGTCCGGCAGTGGCGGGAAAAATTTGGTCAGTAGTTCGTCCGCTTGCTCTTTATGATCGGCGGTCATAGTTCCATCCGCCCTGAGGAGCTGTGGGACCTTCCCGAATGCTGCATCATCTCCCGACTTCAGGTATTTTACGGCTTTCCATATATTATTATTATCGGCCAGGAACTCATTCCAGTGCTTTTTCTTCTGTTTCCGTATTGCATCGTGGTATTGTTTCGCTGCACTCGCGGCCATGTCAAGTACTGATTTGTATTCCTTAGCTAAGCAAGCCTAATAATACATTGTAGAGGTGGCAGCATGTCTACCTACATAGACCCTCCACCTTACGTCTCCTTCGATCCTTTTCCGCATCCTTCGCGGGGCACAGCCGGGTCCGCAAGTCAATACCAGTTTGCACCTTAAGCCTACTTCCATAGCCGCCCTAAAGACTCCATCCTCGATGGCCATCTTCGGAATCCTATTCTCTCAGTAGACCGACACGCGCGTCCGTCCTCTCGAGCCATATAGAAAGTGTCGTATCTGCAGTCCGCCCACCCAGCCTTCCGTCGCTTCCATTATATGCTGCGCCCCGCAGATTGTCAAATCCGTTTCGCGCTACCTTGCAAGATCTCTCTGGCAAGGCCGACCGTGTCTCGCAGGAGTTCGCCCAGTTGTATCCTCTCTGTACCCAGAACAGCCAAGCAACACAGTGTTGTCCCTCCTACTAACCAAAGTACCTCGTCGTTCTCTGTGTGGGTTCAAGCATGCTGGATCCTGCCATATCGTTCGTGTTTTGTTTTTGACTTCGTCGTTTCTGTGATCTTTGACCCAGCGATATCCTCCTTTCAACAGAGCAGCCCGAGAGCACCCCAAGGGTGTCCTATCCCACGACCCTAGTGTCCACTGATTGTAGGATCGGTTTCGCAGTCGTGTGTCGGGTGGTTTTCAAATTGTTCCCTTGTCGCCTGTGCGTGGGGTCAGGGGTCCTGACCCCTGAGCTCTCGCTCTAGCAGTAGCCCTAGCCAGCGGACAGTGCTGGCTGGTGTGACTCTTCTCAGCTCTGCTAATGCCATCGGGCAAGGCATTCGCAGGTTCCCAGCCGGCACCACGGGGAGGTGAGAGTCGTCGCCGGCCTATGCTTGATACAGTAGAATTCGAAAACAGTTTACCCCTCACACACACACATTGTTTCTCGGGCCGTACCCGGAACAACGCTAGTCCGTATTTGGTTACTTCAAAACAACCCATCTTTTCCTGTATCATGCTGTGGAACGTAATTAGACCTTGTCTCATGAGTTATTGTAAATTATCGTATAGCTCTGTCAAATGTTCTAGTAAAAGGCCTAGAACAGGTTGGGGGAGGGGATCTGGCGATCTGGCTTGATTCCCGCCTACCTTGTCTCGCATTTTCCTTTGCTGCCTTCGACTTTTAACAACCTCTAACAGGATGAAGGCTGTGCTGCTTGCTTAACGTACTAATCTTGGTATGCTACTGTAATATGGTTTTCATTTCGGTTCTCATCTGGATTGTGCTAGCTGCAGCTGTTTCTATTTGCTCGTGAATTTCGCCCACGGCTGGAACCGGAACCGCACATGTAAGCTGACAGATTTCCAGAGCCTCCATCGTAGGTAGATATGAGTGACAGCCCGTATCGCGTTGATTATATCTCCCAGCCGCAAGACACCGAATCATGGGGTCAGGATTCACAATATGCACCTACCCAGGGATATTTCCGGAGCCTTTATGCTACACGATCCGCTCGTAGCTCTCCTCAATCTTATCACTTTCGTCGACCGGGACAGGTGAGCAATAGGGTGGCATATTGCGGTCTGCAAAAATTCCTTTTCAGACTTCAAAAGCCTAAGTGAATCAAAGTATTCATTGAAGGACATTGAAGGCTGTCGGTATACCTGGGTTCCTCCTGCAACCGAGGCATCCATGGATGATAATTCTGATTATTCTACGATACCTCGGTCGCGCTCATTCGCTAATCATAGGCCATCCAAATCCAATGAACCCTTTGGCTTGAAATTCAGTAGCATTTTCATACCCTAAAATTCAATAGACAGTGACCTGTCAGCCAACGGTGATAAATGTGCTCTTTACAAAAATTCTATACCTGACGATATGGCGCTGTTCTCACAAGAAATGAATTCGGGAGGCAGATTCACGTGTGCAATGCCCTCTGATAGGGTCTATGTTCTTGCTTTTGAATCTCGACCAGCAAATCACTTAACACCCGATTTTTTCGAGGCCTTTTGCTCATCTTTATCCAAGATACAAGCATTTCCAAAGGGCGTTGTCATCACTGCAAGTCGTGTCCCTAATATTTACAACGAAGGCATCGATCCGCATGTATCACAAGATACCTTTAAAGGACAAGAGCATATATGGCCACTTCTACGACAGCTTCTACGGTACGATACTTACTATTTTGGAACTTCCAGCGTCTTAGTTTGGAACTTAGAAACTCTTCGCTCAGTTGTCTGACAAGATAAAATGTGGACAGATATCCTATGCCCACTATCACTCTCATAAGCGGGGAAACAGCCGGCCTTGGCTTTATTCTATCCCTGTGCCATGACTTCCGAGTTCAAAATCCGCGTGGTTCATCCCTGTGTTTTTATGATAGCCAATTTGCTACACCATTACTATCCAAGTGGATGACGGAGTTTGTGAAGGCAAAGTTACCTACATTGGATATTACCAGCTTGATGTCAGATGGGAAATATCTCCCTGCAAAAGATTGTCTCCGGCGTGGGTTGGTCGATGAGACTGGTTTCTTTGCAGATGTTTTGCGGCTTGTCAAAAGGAGAAGGTTATTGGATGCTGGTGCAGAACAAGGGTACAGTATGAAGAAACAGCTAAGAAATCAGAGTGCTCTTATCCTATTGGATACCTCAAGTGGAAATGAGATCAAGGCGCATCGACTATAAAATTGGAGCAGCAGTGCGCATCTGGAGATATAGTATCGCAATGATACTTACAAAGATTCAATGTCTGGTGGACGTAATATATATTTGCTTCTCTTCGATTGGGTGATATTTTTTTCCACGGTAGCTAGCTCTATATTTGTAGATTGTAAAAGAATTGGCTAGATGATGGATGAGAATTTCGGCAATTTCAAGCTTTAAGGGAAGTCTTGTCATTATAATGTGAAAGAGGCTATTATTACCGCACAGGAGACCGATGCTGCTCTGATCCTTCGCCGGTGGGCCAATACCTTCCGTATGCTCTCCAATAAGTTCCTACAGGAAGCTTTGGCAGTAGAGAAAGCTAGTAAGACTCGTGACTTCAGCGAGATTGCTCCGTACGTTAGCGTGGAGCGTGGACGCGAGGTTTTCCTGAATGGCGACGTTGAACACGGTGCAAGTTATTACATGATTCATATCTGCTCAGCCCCTGAAGTTACGTTCTTTCCTAACCCTTTATGATGCAGATGTGGTCTTCTGGACAAGTTATTGGAATGATCCAGGATATTTCTACCTGCGCCGACCTGCTTAGTCACATTGAGAAGGAAGCTCTTAAGGCTATGAGACGGGTCCAATCAAGTTTTATGTATGCCCCCGATAGCAGGCTTTGATTGATTTCCTGCTTGTTTTTGTCTGCTATTGAAGCTTTATCCTGGATATCTGATATTGAAGTTTCGAGAGGATTATAATCCTTAAATGTTTGATATCTATCCCAAGAGTGATTATGTCTGTTCTCGTGCTATATAAATCGATGCTGTCCCAAATGTGAGTTGTCTTTGAATTTTTATAGTAATTCTGAGTACTAGATGTAGGTTCCGAAATAGATAGATTGCAAGCCAGAGTCACTTTTCCATTCTCGAGACTGGGTCATTAGAAAACCTTGGAAACCCCCAGCCTATTTTCGAGCTAACTTTTTGTATTTGAGAATAATGCGAAGATACGAATGTTCTGCCGGAGCAATCATAGAAGCATTATTTTATATTGCAGTAAGAATAATGCAAATTTAAGAGCACATTTTTCTTACCAGCATATTTTTATTACCAGAATAAAATTCGGGTGCACACAGTACCTAAGATTGAGAGACGGGCTCCAACGGGATAAAATGATGATGATATCACTCTCGAGTTTGCCTCGGCTTCCCGACCGCCGAAACCCATATACCTTTGTCTTCACCTTTACTGTAACGTTACGAGTTCTTTTTACAAATAATAGCGCTCTTTTTTCTTCCTGATCTTTTTTCATGAAACTGCAATTCAATCACACGCAAATTCCGCAGCCTCTTCATTATAATTGGCTCCAGACAATTTTCTGTCCTAAGACTTCAATATTACTCTCCACTATCAGCAATGCTCATACTTTCCAATATGATTGAATGGAGTTCTCATTCGATCCAGTCTATCCATATTTGGAAGTTTATGATCGCAATCTTCCTCGCAGCCAATTTGAAGACTTTACCGCTAGTATTTCACGTAAGTGTACTTAAGCACGAACGATGCATATGTATACTACAGTGCTCTATCTCCCAGTCGCTTCAAGTTTTAAACTAACTATCTTGAAGTATCGCATCTTCCGCCCCATCATCCAGAGCTTCTTCAGAAGGAAAACAAGCCACCAATTATCAATTCGTTATCAAGATAAAGACCTGCCTCTTGTTTTCCTTCCTTGTATAACGACAACATACACGTCACTGCTTGAGGCCGATTACAACCTCCACAAGTCCAATAGTACATATTTTACCGACCTTGATGCAAGCCGGTCTCATCTTCTGTCATATATTTGCCACCGTGGAGTTTTCGTTGTTGATCAAGAGCTTGTTGCTGAGGGTAACCGGGGAATAATGGCTGCCATAATTGGATCTGTTACCACGAGCTTCAAGAAGGAAATTCGAATCTTTCAGCAGTACGAAGTATGGTCACGGATTCTGACCTGGGATCGGAAGTGGCTTTATATTGTGACGCATTTTGTTCAGAAAGGGAGTGTCAAGCAAATTGATTTGGACACTCACAAGATTTCGATGGGAAATACATTTGGAAATTGCGGTGTGCCGACTAAGAGCCAAAAAAGCAAAGAAAAACCAGTGCAGCCTGTTGTTTTTGCAACCTCAGTCTCAAAGTATGTGTTCAAAAAAGGGCGATTAACAGTGGCGCCAGAACGACTTCTGAGGGCTTCAGGTCTTTTGGGAGAAGGTGACAAGACGGGAGAATTTCCCGCCCAATGCCAGGACCATGGGATGAAAAGCACCGAAGCCATCATGGGCAAGAAAACCGACGACGTGAGTGATTTGGAGATCGGCCAAGCCATCGAGAAAGAGAGGCTCAGAGGGATGAAATACGCCAAAGCTTGGGCTGAATTGGACACCCTACACGAGGAGCTGCTTAGGGAACACGAGATAAGTGACTGCGTTCCTATCATTGGTAGCTTCAGTGATATTGCAGGTTATGGCATTTCCTACCACTAGAGCTCCCTTCTAACTAGATTTCACGATGGGGTAGGTTGTTCAAGGATATTATTAGGTATTATTATTATTGTTATTATTGTGTTATAATCAGACTCTTGAGGTTCCTTGAAAAAGTTTTTCAAATTTGATTAAGTGCCGTCGAATTTATATTTCAGCCAGTTGATCAAACTAGTATGATCATAAATCCCAATACTCTCACAGCAATACTAAAGTCAGATCCAAAGCGCAATTGAATACAGCCAGTTGACTAGGGCATCTGACCGAAAGTAATGATACAAGGCCTTTGATGGGATGACGGAGAACATCTAGAAGAGGTGGGTTGCACATGATGGACATTCACAGCCTCAGCCTGATTTTAGTCGTTTCCAACGCCAATGCCACGCGAGTGAGAAAAGCCGCATACACAATCAGAATACTGACAGCTTGTAAATAACTGACATGAAGAGTCTGAATGCTCATATTGATCATCCCTGTCAAGATATTACCAAATAAGAAGACAGAAAGTCCCTTCTTGATAAATGCCGCCATAATAGGACTCGTCGCAACTGTTGCCAACTCGCCCTCGCCCTCCTTTCCGAGCACCTGATGAACCCAGGGAAAGCAAAATGTCTCGAAAGACAGCAGACAAACACTTGTGCATTATTGAAGGCAGCAACCCAAAGCACTTAAGGCAAATTCGCGAGACGGCGCGAAACTTCACTAACGCCATACGTCGCGGCCCAAGTGTAGTGAAGAATGAACAGCCCTGTCGAAGCAAAAGCTTGGCCTGCGAGATTCAAGAGAACACTCTTCCGAATCTGCTGCGAGGATGCAGACTATATTAAACATAGTGTAGTTCGTGTACCAATCGCTCGACCGACCAGAAATATTGCGAGATGACCAAAAAAGGAAAATATACCTTCCCTATTTTTAAAAAGAAAGTCCGGTCCGCGTAGGGAGAGAAGAATAAAAGTCTTCAAATTTGTTGATTCGAGAATCACCTGGTACAATATCGCAATTCCAAGACTAAGTATCTCGTACGGAACAACCATCACCAAGGCATCGAAAAGTTCAACGATTGGAGGTAGAAGGCTTATTGTAAAAAAGAAGTTCCAATGCATCCCGTACTCGGTAACATGTTCCACATAGGCCAGACCTTTCACGCTGCATAGCCGGATCAACCCAAGGGCAAACAGGGGAACCGAATGTCGCATCGACATTTTCATTCTTTGCCATGGTGTGACCTTTCTGGATTGAATGTTCTCTCTTTTGAGCAACGGCCGAGCTGACACACTGCCACTTGAAAACACGAAATATCCGAATCCCCAGTCCATAAGCGACGTACCCCAGGTCTCCTCCACCTTGGCGAATCGACGTGGAAACATGCAAAAGTTGACACCCAGGATGTCCACGCAAGGGATTATCATCAGTGCAGAACGATAATTTGTAAGAAACGGGTGAGTCGGAAAGGTTTTGTACGAGTCAAATGCATATCTCACCGGGGGTTCCTCGGCCCTGGAATATCGGGGAGAGGATTTGGTCTTTAATTGGACACTCTCGTGTGTTGGATATAAAAGTAGCAAAAGAGTCAAATAAGCAAGGAGAATATTAAATGTCCATGGCCAAGAGGAGAGAATAGTGTTTGCAAATAGGACGGTTAAAACATTGAGGAGGAAGTCAGCAGCAAGTGCCGGTGCGCTGTATGGAGGAAGGACGAGACTGCAGAACCGACCATAAAAGCACTGAGATCTAGAGAAAAAAAAGGAGACATACGTTAGCCAGTATAAACAGAGCCCACCGTAATGGATTATTGTGTCACCTACTGGAGCCACCAATGTGACAGCAGTGATCTCCGAAATGCTTCCCCCGGTGAGATTGGACACAAACGCCTGTTTTCGATTTTTTTTTATAATTGGTCCCCATATTGAAAGCTCATCTGCAGGGCCAAGTCTCGCTCTTCAATATTCAGCAGCTGCTTTGTGGATTTCGCGAAGCAGGCAGGACAGGAAAGAGATGCCGACGGGTTCATTAGAGAGAGAAGTGACTGATCAATATTCAGGAAACGCTGATTCCCCACATTCATGGTTCCTTCGACTTCTGTCTAAGAAGCCTGACTAATTAGAATATCCTGGCAAGTATCCACTTTCGTCACTGGGCTGAATTCTTCCAACCTCAATCCGAATTCTCAGAATTAAATGATGATCATATCACTGCCGAATCTGCCTCGGCTTCCCGATGACTTGAACTCGAAACCCCACATTCCGCTACCGAAGGCTGGACCCTGCTCCTCCCCGAAATGACTTCCAAGATTTTCCTCACTGCCAGATTTAAGGAGACAATGTTACGGAATAGAGGGGCAGGAAGGTGCAAGTGTATAGAAGTTTCTCGTAAAATACGTAATGTTACGTAAAGCGACAGCCCGAAATCGGCTACCGTTAAGATCACCAAAAAAGGAGACAAAAATATTTTTTTGAATAGCGAAAGAATTTGGATTGTGCTCGCCGTACGACTATGCTGGGAACCGAAGATACGAGGATACGAGAATGCGAAAATGCGAGAATGCGAGAATTCGACTATATGAACCAATCAAATGTCGGCCATTCGGTGGGTCTTGCAGATCCACGGATCACGATACCACATAGCCGTGAGAGTGATTATGTCATGGCTAGTAGGTTTTTTGTTGATATGTTCTGCAGAATCAGAATTGTGGAGAGTAGGTGTTCGCTATTCTTGAGATGAATAAAGTGTTGCTTTACACTGCTTATGTCCGCCATACTAGAGGTACCATATAGATTCTTTCATTCCATGACGATTTACCTTAACGGAGTCTTGTACCACCAACCAGGTACTACCGTGTACACAGTTTAGTGAATAGTGACTATGCTGATACAGCAAATTTTGATTGCTTCAGAAATGTCTCTTCTAGGTGTGTACGATTTCCGGTCCAAATACCCCTGAATCCTACATGATGATACTCAAGGGTCTCAACACCAGCATCGCAACTTAGCGCATGGTCACCAAGCATAGGAATGTGATCTACTAGCATCAGTCACTAGCGATTTTTGCCACTAGCCTGCCTTGACGCAAGGACATTTACGGAAACGAAGCCAGACTCAGAATATACTGGGAATTGGCTCGCTTGCTTCGTTCAGATATACAAGGACTCGTTTAGGTAGTTGATCTGTTGAGTCCTGGCGAGGGAATACAGCGATCATTAATCAGCATGTACATAGTAGCACATGCGAATTGATATTAAGCAAAATGACAAAATAGGAGACTATTCAAAGCGGCTGTCGGTGCTATTATAAGAGTCCAAGGGTCTTTCGCGGAGGTTTATAAAGCTCCCATCATCCTGACGCATTGACGCGACAAAGTCCACTGGAAAAACGTCGCCCGCATGCACCAAATGAAACATGATCTGAACAAACAACATAGGCACAGTGTCGAAGATATAAGCAAGTATCCCATGACTCGCGAGATAGTTATCATTACCTTGGGTAAACTCAATAATGCGGGTAATTGCATCTCAAGATGATTACAATGGCTGCCGCAAATAGAAGCTTCATCATAGACTTCCATGTGTGTTTTCCATGTTGTGGAACGGCGTATAGCTTAGCAAAAGATTGCATGCGTTTCCAGAACACCAGGGCAATCGTCAAGAAGAGACCGAACATAAGAAGCTGAGCAAACAGTCCAATAAGCATAATCCTCTGTCCCAGTTTTTTGGAGTCGCCGTTCGACAAGGTGAGAAACTGTGATTTGCATTGATCTAGCCTGAATGCAGGAAAGGCAGAAGATACTTGTACGCCCATGCGGTATTTCATAGATAATATGACAGTCACTGGAGAGTTACTAGTCAACTGGGGGGATAAATAAAAGACACAGAGTGGAGGCCTAGTGCATGTGGATACTAATTAATTTTGTTCCACGCCCTCACTTCCTATGTCGCTACTATACTAGTCCGTAAGGTATAACGGGAAAAGATAGATTAGGCTGCAGGATATACGGAAGTAGCTATTTCTGCTCAGTCTATGATGAGGTATTGATGCTCTCGATATTTTCGCAACATAAACCACATTACGGAGACTCATTTTTCGTGCTCCAGATACATGTACAGACCAAGGCCCCTGAGCTAGTGTGGACTTCTTTTGACTCGTGGCAACTCCAAAGATCCAGAACGGGGACACTGGTATGAATACGAGAATGCGAAGTGACTCCCAAGAATATCCTGAAACTTGAGCGGATGATCCAGTCCTCGGGTTTCAAATTTTGGCTGTCTTCGGTCGATTTGACTACATTGAATAAATTACGCGCTTCGCCATGCAGATTCTGGTTTTGAGCCTAGTTTTAGATTGTGTAAATGTGTCAATGGGCGCCTTCTACTTATTTCCGAAGGTGCATAAGTTACAAAATGTGGTATTTTTGACGTACCAAACAAAACGATGGTCACTGCGTATATACGGCAAGGAAAATAGGCCTTTATTCTCCTCCAGATTAAAAGAGGAGCGAAAAGCCTTGATGAAAGTTCGCGGATCTCCAGTTTTAGATAGTTTACGAGGACATGATAATCACAATTTGAGACGGAATTAGAGATTGACCCGAGACCAAGCTCCACTCTTACACCCTCGAATCATGTCTCCCCGTTCTCGTTTTTCATAAAATATTGACCTACATATTATAATTTCACCGTTGGTGGGGTGGGGTAAATCGTTGAGAGAATCCCGTGGTTCTTTATACGACGTATTCTGTCGTTGCAATTTAATGATACGCTGATCTCATTTCAATAGTTCGGTCGTAATGGTTACTACCAGGGAAGCTTGGAATATAAAGGGACGGAACCCACAACCTGGCGTTTTCCAGAAGAATCAAGCTAATTGAGTCTCCCAAAGATGATTTTGCGGTATTTTCTCTTAGCATGGGTTTTTCCTGGGGCTTTTGGACTAATCTTCCCAGATGATGGTTTCAAAGCGCCCCCAGTAGAATCTCGTCCCAAGTTCCGTTACTGGTGATTATCTGCTTTCTCTGCACCCTGCACAAATACGAGCACCGCTAATTTGGTTCAGGATTCCTGATGCCAGCGTGTCTACTAAAGATGTCCGGAGTGATATTTCCGACCTCGCTGCCGTTGGCTCTGGCGGTCTTGAACTACTTCCCTTTTATTTCTACGGCAATCCTTCCAACTCGCACACTCCTACCGACTGGACTCATTTCGGTTTTGGCATGGAGGCTTTTCAGCATGTTTTTAGCCAGGCTCTTCAAGCCGCTGTCGACAATGAATTGCTCTTTGACTTTAGTCTTGGTGCCAATCAAGGGCAAGGATCTCCTATTAAGCCAGGGACCGATGGCCTCGCTGTTCAGCTGGTGAGAACAATCTACAATTGATAACACTAAACAAGTCACTGATCAATACCTTATAGCAACTTGGAGTTGAGACTGTGAGATCCGGTACCTGGTTTAATGGGCTTGTTCCCGGACCGCAAAACCTAACAGACTCCTTGCGGTCCGGTGGGGGGGGTTTATGCATGGGTTGACAAGCCCTGAAAAGGGCCAACTGAAAGCAGTCATAGCCGGGAAGGTGCTGTCTGGTAGGCTAAGCTACATGCAAGAATTTAAACTCGTTGCTAACTGTTGAAAGAAAAAGGATTGAACGAAACAATCGTTCATCCCAAGTTGGTATACCTGGATGAAGCATCAATGATCGATTTAACTCATCTTGTGCACAATGAAACACTCAAATGGGAGACCCCTCGCGGGAACGGCACGTGGAGACTATTCACTTTCTGGGAAGGTCACACAAATCAAATATCCTGCTTTAATGGTGAGAATGGAACGACTCCTTTAGAAAAGGGGTCCTACGTTGTAGATCATTTCAGCAAAGTGGGAGCCGAGATACATACTCGATCTTTTGAAAGCCTGGTCCTGAACAACGAGAGTACAAAGGAAAATTTAAAATCAAATGGCAGATACGGTATGTCCAGATCCCGATTATAGCTCGCCCGATCAATGCTTACAAATTCCAGCTTGGGAGGACAGCATGGAGCTTCTCTTTACCCTCCCATGGACGCCTGAGTTTCTGGAGCTCTTCCAGGCCCATCATGGGTATAGCCTCGTCAAGTATCTGCCCCTTCTCTTTAACAAGGAGAATTCCTTTAATGCCGCATCTTTACCCTACACAGAAGAGTATTCCTATGGAAATTATACCAAGTCTGGCTCGAGTATCCACAGTGTCAGGTTCAGACAAACTCTCAGTCAGTGTTATCGAGATTACCTCAAGTACCACACGGCATGGGCACACCACCTTGGAATTCAGTATTCCGCTCAGCCTTCTTATAATCTACCTCTCAGCTTTGTACGTGGCACACACTGATCAATCTCACCATATCTTCTAACCCTGTCAGGTGAATGAGGTCCCGTCAGTTGATGCCCCGGAGGGGGAGTCGCTTGGATTTGCGGACATCATAGACGCGTACCGTACTCTGTCGGGACCTGCACAGCTGGCAAACAAGAGCGACATTTCCTCGGAATGTGGCGCAGAGTTCAAGCCGGCCTACAGTCAGACCATTCCCGAACTACTCAAATCAGTCAAGAAGTCTTATGCAGGAGGGCTGACAATGATGGTTCTGCATGGAATGGCGTATAGTGGGGCTTATGCTAATACATCCTGGCCGGGCTATCAACCATTTGGCTATCAGACTACCGACTCTTGGAATAGGATCCAGCCAGCATGGAAGCATATGACTGATATCATTGGGTTCATGGGGAGAACACAGCATGTTTTGAAAACCGGAGTGCCGCGGGTCGATCTGGCGTTCTTTGATTCAAGAACTTTGTGGGAGGCATCTGTCATCTACAACTCTGACAATCTTCAGAAAAGAGGTACGACCAAAGTATGCTAATAGTTTGAGACAATACTGACAGCTCTTAATAGGCTTTACATATAACTTTGTTGGGCCAGAAAATTTGTATCTTCCTAGCGCTTTTGTCACTGAGGGTATTCTTGCATCAGATGGGCCTGGATACCAAGCCCTTATCTTCCTCAAAAATATGGCCATCGGCGATGAAACCTTGTCAAAGATCAAGGAATTTGACAGAGCTGGTCTCCCCGTGATCTTTGTTGGGCCACAAGAGCATATTTCATCACAAGTGAGAAAACACAAATCTCCAGCAGCATTTGATGGGCTGCTCAAACAAGGAAAGAACATCCATCATGTCAATTCCACAAGTCAGCTACCGGATCTTTTGTCTCACCTTGGTGTGAAACCGAGAGTTTATTTTGCTGAACCCACAGACTCAGTCTATTCAGTACAGCGGGCCGATTTTACTACCGGAACAGAATACACCTGGTTCTACAATAACGGAAATGCTTCCTCAAGTTTCATTGCCGAGTTCTCTGTTCCGAAAGATATGAAGCCATTCCTACTCAATGCATGGAACGGCGAAATCATTCCGCTTGCCACTTACCAACTGACGAGTTCCGGCAATCGACTTTCACTGACTCTCAACCCGGATGAAACCATCATTCTAGCCTTTGCAGCGTCGGAAACCGAGAACACCTGGGTAACAGATATCACAGGCTCTGTTGAAGAGGTAAAGTACACATGTGACGAACAGATTATGGTCAACCTGAAAGGTCCTTCCAAGGTCGTTCTCAGCAATGGGAATATACATAATCTCAACGCCACAGTCCCAAGTGCTGCGAATCTATCAACTTGGGACATCGAAATTGAGGATTGGCACGGCGACCCTGATAACACATCCTCCATTGAAACCTTGATCACTTTGCATAAATTCCAAGGCCAACCTCTGAAGTCCTGGAAAGATCTCAGCAAGATACTGGAGAATGTTAGTGGGGTGGGAACTTACACGACATCATTCAAAGTCCCGGATGTCCCGGGTATTGGAGCATATCTTTCGGTTGGCCCCATCTTCAATACGATGCGTGTCTGGGTCAATGGGAACCTTCTACCGAGTTACCCCGCGGACAACGCAAAGATTGATATCAGTGACTTTATCTCGCGAGGAAAAGAGAATGCTATCAAGATTGAGGTCACTACGACTTTGTACAATCGTCTCAGGGCAGATGCGGACAGTCTTCTGACTATAGGGATGCCGTTGTCAATGATGGCACCGACTTTTGCGGATGGTGAGAGGCAAAATTATGGAGTCTTGGGGCCTGTAACGATTGACTGGGTTATTGGTAAGAAACTTGATTTGGAATAGATGTCCGTGGATTGAGATGTGCTGGCTTCATGGCGAAGCTTTCCTCTTACTGTTTGTATTCTACATTTGTTTTTTGTCCATTAAATCGTGTCTCTTGTGTGTATATATGATTGCTTCTTGTCATGATATAGGGACCTGCACGGATAGCGAACAAATTCGCATTCCTTAGATCATCATGCTGATTGACTCGCAAGCCCCATACCTAGGTAGGTAACTATATCCCGTCTATTTTGTAAAAACTTTTCTCCTTCTGAGCTTAAGTTGAATTGGAATCTCATACCTTATTAGTCGCTATTAACTATTGAATAGAAAATCAGAGATTTGCAGCGGTTCATCAGACGGCAACAATTTTTCTAAGCTATCAATAATACTCAAGTTCAAATTTATTCTCTATATTCAAAATCAATAAGCGGGCATTAGGAGACCTCATGAAGCTGATTTTGGAGATTTCTCGTCCTCCGAGTCTCTTTGTACGTGACAAACCCACCGACGCCGGCAACAGTACAAGCCAAGCAAACAAATAAGCCTGTGGTCCAACTAGGACGATTGAATCGATCCATACCCCACATGCAGCCCGCTAAGCAAGCTTGAAATATTGTGTTCCAGGTGTTGCACCATACTATTAGGTCCAACTTCCACTTTTTGGTCCTTGCGAAATCTCCCAATGGTAGTTCTTGGTGAAATGATTCGCTCGACACATCGTCATCCGAGTTCCAATAGAACCACGAAGAGTAAATGACACGCAAGGAGTTGAAGGCTGACATACTACTGCCCAGCCTCCACATGATCCACAGATAGAGATCCCGAATTCGCCATGGAGCCAAACCGAGCCCCGGAATGCAAAACAAGGCGTTGAGAATTTGAGAATCAATCTCAATCCATTTACGTCGCGATGAGTACAGGTCGTTGCAGGATGGGTGACACATAGCAGGCGCGACATTACACATAAGAAGAAAGAGCATACCACCCCATGCAACGACGCTGAGTCCATATATTGTTATCAGAAACCCTTCTGGCGTTCGAATCCAACTCCAAAGGGCCTGCATGCCATTTTCGGGCTTTTGGGTGACTGGCTCGGCAGCTGGTAGAACCTGGGACACATGTCAGTCAATTGAATCAAAAGTACCTATTTGCGGACTGATATTGTATGAGACATACAAGTTTTTCATCGCTTTGATTGAACCCGGCCTTGTATCGAACGCTAACCTTGTCAAGCCTTGCATTTTCGGAAGTGGACTTGGTAAGATCCATATTGCGGTTTTCATTTGCTTTGAAAATATTTCTGAGGATCGTATTAGGCGGAATCTGATACTTAGTTATACTTCAAAAGAAGATAAAGTTCTCGTCTCGATTTATTTTTCTCCACTACGGATGATCGCCGAGTTTGCCCCTATCCAAATTTATGAGAACAAATACGAGAATGCGATTCCCGAGAATACGACCCACGAAATTATGAAATTACGAGTACGCGCTACAAAAATGTACGAGACAAATATTGAAAGCCGCAAACTTTTTAGAACTCAGAATTGGAGCATGTAATACAGTTTGTAACGAAAATTTTGGACAACAGATTGAAATTTTCTCCTTCTGACATGTTTGGGGCATTTCAGACCCCGTCTTCATTGCAATCATCGCAAAGAGGGAAACCCTAAGGACTGGAGTCTAGGTGATGGAACATTGGTTGATGTTTGGTGTAGCTCGTAAAAATTTGTATGTCTATATGTCTATCTTTCTCTATAGCTCCCGTAGACTATCGATGCCTGGTCCCCCCTTGCCGTTGCCATTATGATAATTGTTCAAACGCCGACAACACAGTTTTGACTTCTTCAGGGCTAGGAGGAAACTTTCCAAGCAAGTCATCACCTTCGGCAATTTTCGACTCGAAGATCTTCGCATCGGTCGAATTTAGCTTTCTGTTCTTGAGACTTTTGTAAATTCCCATCGCAGGGTAGGCCATAAGGCCAAACATTGCTTGAATGAATGACAGCTGTTAGTAGGGGATGGGGCAAAGTTACCACGGGAAAAGAAATTACCTGATCCTGGCTTAGAGAAAAGCTCGATGCTACCTTTTGCGAATCCCTTCGCGAATCCCGCCGCGCCGTCTTTTTTGGCCTCTTGGTAAGGTTTTGTAATGAAGCCACTGAGTCCTTGTGCAAATCCAGTGTATAGGCCCTGTTTTTAATTATAAGTAGATGCCTGGACAGGAAAAGTTTCAGTCCATTGGAATATGGCTCAATAGTCTCACCTTTCCAGCCTGAGTCATTCCTCCTTTCCATCCCTCAATTGGGGTCATTTTCTCTGGTACATCCCCATACAAACGGGGTACATTTCGCAAGCCTTCAGCCAAAGCAATTGGTGTTTCTACAAAGGCCCCATTTACGAGACTTGATGTCATTTGACTTGCACCTTTGATTGGGTCGATTGCAAAATTTCCGAGTCCCTTCGTGAATCGGGTAGAAGTGTTGATCAATACGGCCGATGTCGAACTCAGCGGATCGGTCGATATAGTCTCTATGTGCATCTTGCTTACACGGTACCTTGTGTTCGATCATTAGCCAAGCCAGTAGCATTTGAATCCAGTACATACAGTTTGATATGCCGTATATCGAGTTTCCCGTGACTTGTGAGAATCATCATCGCTTTGTGAGAGATTTTTAGCCTTTTGTGATCCAACGACCACACAGCAACCTCAGATGGTAATATATCACATCGGAGGTCCTTCCAAGGTAGGTAATTATGGAAGCTCGTAACTGCATTCGCGACTCCATCTTCGACCTTCATCACTGCACTGATTCTTGAGGCGGCCTGGTGTGCCTCAGGAGTGAGACAAAAACTGATAGCATCGGCCAAGGCGAGAGCAGTCAGGCGCTTCCGGTCGAGAGCTGGCGGCCCAGCGCCGGCAACAGCGACCATGGATGCCCAGAAGGGCTGGCTACATATAATATTTAGATTCAATCAAAGCAAAAATGAGAAACACTCGAGTTGGTGATATGAAAAGGGAAAGGTGGGTAGGGGGTGACCTACTCTCCAAAAAACGGAACGATCGTAGTCGGACATCCGTTCAGTAGGCCATAGGCAGTGGTGCCTGCGCCGCCGTGGTGAACAACTGCTGCAACCCGCTTGAAAAGCCATTCTATAATCAATGAGCTCATGACTTCCCAATTATGGTCTCAGAAAATGGGCTTCGAACCGTGTGGACAATCATCGATGAAGAGTATGTCAGGGGAATCGCAATTCTGTCCCAACTTACTCCAGCCTTTGGATACAATGGCTCGAATTCCTAGCTGGTTACACGCTTCTGCGATAATAGACGTCATGGCTTGCGGATCATCCATTACGATACTGCCAAATCCGATGTAGACTGGTGTTGTTCCTTTGGCCAAGAATTGCAGGATTTCCGAAGGTGGTTCGTAGAATGGCTCCTCTCGGAAGAAAAACCCACAAACATCTATATTGAGGAAGAATTAGCCTTGTCATAATAGCAAGTTCAATTGTTTGGCGCAATCACCGATATAAAAGGGCCAATCAGAGGGTTTTTTAATCAGTGCAGGAGACCAGCAATATGTATGGGGAACCTCCAAGGTCTCCATCAGACGAATTGCGGTTCGAGTTGACAGCTCCTCTAAGTTGAGAGTCCTCGTGCGAAATTTGTTAACAATGTCCGCCAGTCTATTAGCCGTTTTTGTCAGAGCCAATTCACTTGAGAAAACATGTCCAAAAAAGAGTGTGGCTTACCCGCTCCAGGTTAAGAGCTCTACCATGCTGTATGACAAGTAATTTTTGACTGAAGAATCAATATTGGAACCCCGAATGTTGGCGAGTGGATGGGGAAACTCCCTCGTTGGGCTCCATGGCATCGTGAAAATGATGTGCAGTGGCACGCCCAGTGCTTGTGCACAGTGAACATGAGCAAAGCTCGGCGGGTTTGCAATGATCGCATCTGCGACGAATGGGGCCATGCTGATGGGATCGGGCTCAACGCATGACTGCCAAAAGCCATGCAGCATTTCTGCAATCATTTGACGTTTGCGACCAATTTCTCCGCTGGCGATCGTTGACGCCTTGGGAATGATTCCGGGGTTGTTTACCATAAACTAGTTTGTTAGTTATTACAATGTCCTGGGTCATTCGCTGGCGAAATTAATTCGAGTCCCCGTACCGACATCAATTCTTCTGGGTTGCCTCCGATTGGGTAGAACTCTAGTCCTGTCTGTTGAACGAATTTCTCAAAGTTTTGATGGGTTGCAAGCCGGACACGATGACCCTTTCGCTGAAGCTGTGTCCCAAGTGCTATGAAAGGCTGAACATCTCCTAGAAAAGACATCGCGTTAGCCGAGAAAGTGTATGGAAAAGCTTCAGGGTATGAATTCATTGCAAACCTCGACTGCCCACTACTTGGATGACAATGTTCAATGGAATGACATCGACCGGAGAAACTTCCGGTTTCTTTTTTTCGTGTTCGGGTGTTCTTGCTACGAGCAGATTGCCTAGCCCTAGCTGCTGTGCCTGAACAGTCACGTCGACTCGACTATCATCTTCAGAGAATCAGTGACTAGAACAATTTCGACAAAGCATTTGGTGGTACGAACCGCGAAGAGCCGTGGATGCCTGGACGCAGCCATTGGACATAGCAACCTCGTAAGATGGTGGCAATTCATCGTGTGAGACTGACATCATGACTCTCACTTGAGGAGAATAGGTCGTCAAGCGCAGGCGCGAAATCGTGATAAGGAAGAATCTTTCAGTGTGGCAATTTTCAAATGGATACGCCGCTCATCTTATACTGTGCCTTGGAACTTTCGCCAGCAATTCAGTGGCGGAAAGATCAGCTAGACACGGGTTATAGAGCCTTCCGAGATATAGACACTAGTGGCTTAGGAGTGTGAATACGAAATACGGGTGGGTCTTTCAGAGTGTCTTCTGATTGGACAATGGTATATCTAAATGATATGTTCTATTCGGGATTGTTGCGGAGAGCCCCTCCACAATATACCGTGCTTTTAATCGCGCACAGATATTGCTCGTATATCCTCTCCTTCGAAAGGAACATCGCCGTTTCGAAGGAGAGCTGGGCTCACTTCGCAGCGGTCTCTTCCCACCCACCGCAGAATGCTTCCGCATAGCTTTGCTTCCTCCTTAAATATGGGGAGTGCTACGGGCCCGCCTGCAGCCCTCGCGGCGCTGTAGTCTTCTGTCAAGGAGACCTACATCACCATGTTCAGACTGCAGGTGCCCCGTACGGGCCAAACCTATCTCACGCGTCTCCATTGTAGCAATGTAGCAATGGTTAGAATACATGTCTTTTCCCGCTGAAACGAATCCACTGACTACAGACCCTTCGGTTAAAGACAAGACATTCTTCTTAATTGACCCCTGCATTTTGCGGAAAATTTGATTCTCGATCAAAAGGCTTCACCTCTTACATATTCTTCACGTCGCGTACAGATAAATATTTTAACTGAATCCAACGAATTACTATCCTACTCCGACCTTATTTCGCATGATTCAAAATAAGCCTGCTCCGCTTGAATCCACATGCGATGGAAAACGCAACCTCTTGGTTGTATACATAGACGGGTTTTTGGGATCCGAAGAGAGCTTTGCCCAATTTCCAAAGGAAGTACATGGCCTCTTGACAAAATCTCTCAGTGAGATACATGACGCTTGTATCAAAATATATCCTCGGCATAGGACTCGTGGGTCAATCAGGATTACACGCGACAATTCTAGCAAGTGGTAAGCCAATTAATTGTCATGACGGAAATGGCAGCGTTTTTAACCGGAGCTTACTAGGTTATCTTGCCAAGAAGGCCCTACCACCGATATATTTCTTCAGGGGCACAGTCTTGGTGGCCTCATCGCTGCAGATACTGTGTTACTATGTCGTGAGAAGGACCAAGGGTTCAAACACCGAATTTTTGGCCATCTCAGTTTCGATGTTCCCTACCTCGGTCTTCACCCTGGTATCATTTGGACGGGAATCAGCACACTTGGTCAAAATCCAGCTGCCAAAAACGCCAGCGACCAGTGCACGAGACAAGGAAAGCTCAGGCCGGTCAGGGGCGTGCTTAATTCTACTCAGGGAGTAAAAGCGGCGAGGGGGGTGAGCACTAGAACGGAAAGGGGAAACCAAGAATTGCCAGACATTGTCCGGTATATACCTAGGTATGCGTATCCCTGGCGTAGTCATTCGCCAAGGGTGGAAACCTTGGAACTAAGGTAGTTAGTTCTACTTGAAGGTTATGAGAGCTAATCATACGAAAATTATATCCTAGCTTTGAAAGAGCACGGTACAAATAAAGCTGTACTGGTAGTTGGTATCTGTAGTCGCACAATTTCTGTACATAGTATATTCGAAGCGAAAGGAAGAATCTACATAAAAAGACAGAGCGGAAGGGGTAAGCATCGAAATAGACACGAGCGAAGTGGATAGGAGATAAAAGCAGTTCCCAAAATGTAGTGGGGAACAAAATGCATAGGACGCCATCGCAAGATACCAGACCCAGTTGCAACTCCGTTTTGATGCGCAGTGGAATAAAAGGTAATGAAGGATGGATGAGCAATAAAAAACAGAAGAAAAAAGAAACCAGATCCGAGGGAGTGATGCAATGATATGGGGTGCAGATGAAAATGAAATAACGGAGCTCAAAGAAACGACGGTTGTCAGTCGGAGACGTGAAAATCTAGGTCTAGGCTGGTCGCAATGCAAGGCGAGAAAGGAGACGGATAAGAGAAAAGTGGCGGCGCAAGTCAAAGAAAGAAAGAAAAGGCAAGACGAAAAACAGTTATTGAGCAGAGGAGATTCTCATGCCTTAATGGTGCATGGTGTTGACTCCGCTGTAGTAATTGCTGCCCTGCGGAACGTGGTTCTGGCTCTGTTGATAGCTAGGTGGAGTCGGCAGCGCTTGGTTGAGTTGACCGTACCAAGACTGGCGGCGGGGTTCGCTAGCCTGGTTCACTTGGTGAAGGGCATCCCAGGTCTGACTAGCCGCAGGCATGTTATACATACCCTCCTGGCGGATAGGGGCTTGGGCCTGAGGGTGATAGAGAGACCCTGCGTACTGGGAGGCATATTGTTGAGGGGTAAATTGCTGCTGCTGCTGCTGAAATGGCTGTTGCATCATTTGCTGGTTGCGGGAGGCGATCGCATGCTGAACCATGTGGTTTGACATGCCCTCCTTCATGGCACGCTTCTCACGCTCACGAGCATCAATCGACGAAACTAGGCCCCCACCGGCAGATGGCTGAGGCTTTTGATTGTTGCTTGACATGTCGAAGAACGAAGAGCCTGTCATGCGTGCAACGTGCTCCTGCTCGCGAGCCGAAAGGTGGTTCGCGACATCACCATACCCCATCATTGTGCTTGCACCGCGCGAGGAGGGGCGGTAGTTGGGGTCCTGGTAGGATGTCATGCGCGAGTTGGGCCGAGCTTGCTGAGTCCAATCTCCAGAGACAGGGCGCTGTAACGGCGGTGTATTACTGCTAGATCCAGAGCGATGGTGACTGTGCATCGGGGGGGCTAGGTGCTCCTGCAGCTCGTTGGTTCACAAACTGCTCGGGTGTAAGGCCGCCACCGGGAGTTGTAGGCCGGCCAGATGCCATTCCGGGCTGCCAAAGAACACTTCGTCGGCGGTGATCTTCCTGACTGGGAGACCGCTCATGTCCCATCGGATTAGTGGGAACAGAAATTCGGTACCGCTCGGCATCTGTCTGGTTAGAAGCCTTTCTCAGAGTATCTCCAGTATTAGGTCGTCCGGTCGTAGGCATATAAGTCATTGTCGGCCCGAAATCCACTGTTGGGATGTCAAAGCTGGGTTCTGAAGGCTTGTCGGGTGTGTAGTGAGCATCTCCGATGACAAGATCTTGCCTAGTGGGCTGTCCCACGGTCTTCATGACACCCATTCGGGGCTTGGTCGACTTCGCTGACTTTTTACTATACACAGACTCATGGGTACTTGCGTAGTCAGGCGTAACGGCGGATGCGTCATCGTACACACTTTCATCTTGGGTAAAGGTCGGAGAGATTGGCGAGGGGAGGTGAGGTGCGATTCGATTCAATGCATCTTCGTCCAATGTATGGCGAAGGTCGTCGAAGCTTGGCTCTCCTGGGTCCTGAGAAGAACGCGGAGCACCGAATATTTGCCGCTGCGGTAGAGGCTTGCGCCTTACTGATTTGGCTGAATCAATCTGCGGGTTGTGCTGAGGTGATGACGTGCTATCAGAACCAGCGGTCGCCGGCCGTTGTTCCAGATTTCGGGGTTGTTCTGCAACCTGGGGCTGACGAACTGGAAGCGCGAGACCAAGACCTTCATCACTAGAGTAGTGGGCAAGACGAGTGCTTTCAGATGGGATAGGCGGTTCGGGAAGCGGATGGCTGGTGGCCTGGGCTTGTCGTCTGGTGCCAATACTGGAATCGGAGTCTTGATTGCGTAGCGCCGCGGCAACTCCTCCCACAGTTGACATCGCCCCAACGGAGGTTAACTGAGAGAGAGTTGCGTGAGACATTCTGTTATTCTCTCGGGTCTGTGCGTATGTTGCCTCCGGGCGGTTTGTAGGCATGGATCTTGGGCCATGAGAAAAGTCAGGTGGGGTAGTCACAGGAGAGGGTGGCGTGCGTGGCGCAGGCTCCTCAAACCTATTCGCATGCCTTGTCTCCTCGGGATGTCTTTCGCCTTCGAAATCAGTATGCTCCGTAATAGGCCCTGCAAGAGCTTGAGCTCTGTCGCGCTGCACCAGGTCTTGGGCAGATGAGTCCGGGGAACTGTCTAGCATGGAATCATGGCCAGGTCTCCGCTCGGTTTGGAAACCAGTGATATCCGACATCCCACGAGAATGGAATCCCATGGGCTCACCGATCGTGGGAGGCTTTTGAATGACGGCATCTGTCGAATGGTTGAATTCGGGCTTAGATTCAGGGGATTGGAAGGGACGACGAGATGGGTCAGTTGGCGTATCACTAGTTCGACCCGAAATACTAGCACGGTAACGAGGGCGGGTGCTGTTGACGCTGTTGGTTCTGCTTCTGCCTGTGGACATTCGACTTTGAGTCGCTTCCTTCAGCTGCCTCCTCCACTGGGCTTCATTCCAACTCAAGCTCCCTGGGATTTGGAGCAGATTCACGATATCCAGAACATCCAAGTAACCGTACCTCCGTTCTTTGGGGAACGCGAACATGATGCTCTTGATATGGTTCGTGTCAGCCACGAGACGAGTTGGACGTCCATAGAGATTGAATGTGTCAAATGTCGGGAAGAGGAATCGGAGCATCATTTCGAGCCCAGAAACCGCGGCATGCAGCTCGGGCATGACAAACACCATTCCCTCGGCAGTTTGGCGCTCTGCATGCAGGGTCACCAAGCCTTCCATTTTCACCAAAGTGGATTGATCAATCAGAGCCTTGGATTGGGGGTAAATTGCATACGCCGAGTATACGTGAGTGACTGTCGCTATCGGCGTGACCTTTTTGGTCTTCTTCGTCTCGTAGAAGCTAATGCTACCTGTTATAGGGATTGAAAGTCGATCATAGGCAGATTTTTTCATCGCCTTGCGAGCCTTTTGGATCTCTTTCTCGTCGGGTGGATTTATAACAAACCAGCATCGCCTCCAGGGTGTTCCTGCACCGAATCTGACGCGAGCCCAATCTTCATGGCGAAACTTGGACGGAGCCAAAATAGCCTGGATTCCAGGTAGCGTTTTGCCTTTGGCGGCAATGAGAGATCCTGTGTAAGCTTCATAAAGCGATGTGTGCTCGTACATAGCAAGACGGATAGCGGCCGTCCATTGTGTCATGGAATGGAAAGAGTTGAAATGTAGCAGATAGCGGTTCTTTCCTGCGGAGGAGAGACTAAGAACGTTTTTTAATGGCTGGACCGCTCCGTTTCGAATGGGCAATGTTTCGATCTATAATCCACCGTCAGGACACAGTTAGGGCTATCGAAAGGACTCCAACGAAAGTATGATCAATGAACGAGGGAGCGTACCATTTTGATCGAGGCATCGGCTAAATTAATGAAAGTCGCGGGAACATCTGCACCGTCTGCCGCGTCCAGCGCAGAAGCTTCCCAGAGGGAGAGAACAGTACCGACGAGCTGCGCATAACACTCCATCCATTGGCGATCAAGGGATGGTCGTCCATCTAGGCATTTCATTAGGTTAGTCCCTCTTACATTAGCAACTAGAACCGTAACACGGATCACGTACGATTATCCTGGTCATTCAATTTAAGGAAATAGCCTTCTTGGTAGACCTTGTTGGTGTGAATATTGAGATAGGTGAAGATCGGCGATAGCTCCGGTGGGGTATCCTCGGTTTGGGCCACGAGCGGCGGGTTGCGGGAGAAGATCATAGATGCTGGTCGCGAGCCGATTCCCTCCCCTCTCGGCGTTGAACCATTGACCGGCGACAGTTCGGAGGGTGGGGAGGGTGTATCTGGTGAGGGAGTCTGCCACCGCGGCGGAGTTTGAGCAGGCGTCACATTGCTCGACGACTTACGCTTCTCTTTGCGATTTTCCTTTTGGGAGTCATTGTTTTTGGGATTGCCGAACGTTGATATAAACGAGAGAACTAGGAGCGACGCAAGGGAGAGTTAATAAGGTTGATCTCCAACCAACTCCGAAGCACCCGAGAAGAACGATCAACATACCACGCGAGCGGCCCATGTCGACAGTAGGTGATAGATCACCGGTCCAGTCGGGATGTCGACTTCAACTGAGAAGCTGAACAAGGGTCGAGGAGGGACCCCGGAAGGAAAGGAAAGAAAGACGGAGGAAGCTAAAAGGAGACCGGGGTTGGGCAGGGGAGAGGGTCACAAAAAGCCACGATAGCGCACGGTCTTCTGGTGGAAAAAGAGGGAGAAACCGGAGTTTGATTGGAATGGGGACGGTCAGGTCGGATAGGCTAATTCATGAAGCGAGTGACAGGGTTTTCGAGAATCGAAGAGGATAAGTGGAAAGGAGGCAAAACGTGGGTTTTCGAGTTTCGAGTTTGGAGGCGGGCACGGCCAAATAGAGTGTGGATGACGTTGCGTGGCCCAAAAGGTAATGAATAGTTCGGGACTAGTACAATTGCGACACAGCCACGAGGTTGTTAGGGGAAAGGGAAAGGAGGGAGAAAAAAGATGGATGATTTTCCTTATTTTTTCCAAGAGGGGCAGAGAAGGAGAAAGAGAGAGAGAAAGAAAGAGGGTAACCTTGGAGAAAGAATGGAGAGAAGAAGCTGGGCATGACAGTGGGACAAGGCTGGTTACGCTGCTTACTTGGTATGTTGGACAATAACTCTCTTTTTTCTTTTTTCTTCTTTTTTTTTCACTGAGACATTTCTTTATTGTACTCTATACTCTATACTCTGTACTTTTTACTCTTACTTTCTACTCTGTATCTCTTCCAAATTGCTCTCCTCCTCGATGCAGCGTCATGCGGATCGGCGGTGGAGTGTCTCCTGCTCATCCAAATTTAGCAGCATGTCTTAGCCGGGTTTAACTGTACTGTACGGAGTATATCGCCTCCACACAACTCCATTCTTTGTCTTCAAGTTGCCTTCTCTTCTCTTCTCTCTTCTTTCCTTCTATTCCTTCTGTTCATCCCCTCCCATTCAACCTTTCGCCACCACCCGTCGTTTAATCGTACAGAGTATCATACGGATGCCCTCGCCACCAACGACTACGCTAAGGCGAACCAAAATCCTTCCAATGCCCTACCCGACCTCGACCCAAGGACCAAAAATGACCTGGCCGCTTTAGTCGCGTAAGCTTCGCCCTAAGGCCATTTCCTGTTTTGGTCGGCAGTTCTTTGCTTCTGCCGGGGACGCGCAACTCCCTGGCGTGGCATCGCATCGCAACATACAGTCAGTATACACCGCCATCTAACCAACCATCCTGGTTGGTTCACCTGGCTTGGATATGCGATGAACCGACAGATCACCTCTAGTTTACTGTACATGTCGCTGTCGACTCAATCTCATTTTGGTTCATGTCTAGGATCCGCCACATTGCATTTTATTGCACCTTTATTACACTCTGGCCGGGGCCTTGGCAGTCAAACTTCATGCTTCATTGACTAGGCAATCTGGCCTCTATTTTCATCATAGTGTAATTGGCCTGCATTTCACTTCACTCATTTCGACCGAGAGGATCGCCGACGGAGATATCCCCTCCGTTTTCCCGTTTTCCTGCCCCTCGTGCACCCTTTTCGCCGAGAGAAAATGTTGTGGCTGAGCTAGTAACTTGGCCACAGTCACCCTCGCAATGATCAATGCGCCAGGTACAGAGTACGCAATACGCAGAGTACTACTCAGTACATACATCACAGTACGCTTTTTTTTTCCTACGTCAGGCGTCCGACCTGGTTCGCAATTCACGGCTAGATGCGCGTCTTGATTCTGAAGAATTTAGGTATCAATTAAGTGAGACACGGTCGCACTTTATGGACGTGGGTCGCCTAGTGACCTATGGAGTACTCCGTACTGTACTCTGTATCTGTACTCTTGATCCGCGCCAGGGCCCGGACCCTTGTCCATGCGGGAAAGGGACCGCATGTCTCACGTTGAACACTAATAATGAATAGGGCTATACTTTGTAAGCCCTTGATGGGATTCTAGATCCCGTCCTTCCACGGCTAGGAACTAATCTGGAGAAATGCGTATCTACGGAGTACATACGCAGGTAGATCTGAGGATCTACACGAGATTTCAAGGATCTCCTCTTCTCTGCATATGCCTGTCGAATTGAACTTGAAGTAGGCCCCCCTAGTGGGTCACAATCGGCCATAGAGAGGGCCGTGTCTGGCCCCCTTCTTCGTGAGATTATACTGTAAAGGCTGTTTAGGTAGGAGTGTGTGTGGAAACTTTTGAAAATATTTAAATTTACATCAAAGTATGTACACATGGTTCAAAGAAAAATCACCCATGATCAGGCATCATGAGCCTGCTCCTATGCCGTAACCAGAAGCTACTAACTACTATGTAGTTATCTAGTAACTAGTAGTAGTACGAGTTAGTTTCCCGCTATCTTCTTGGCCATCACAAACCCCAAGGGTTTGCCAAGATATCCGGAGCACATACTGGCCCAACCCCACCTTCGCGTACTTGATGGGTGAATAGCACTTGGAGGAAAATGGCAAAAGAATATTCATGACTTCATTATTAAAAACTTCGACTCCGGCTAAGATACTGTAGAAAAGGGCTCAAATACAACGGTACTTGACGAATCACGAAAAACTGCGTGAAAAGACATCATTAAAAATCTCACTGCTCCATCAGATGGTAAGCCAGAAGGGGATCAACCAACGCCATGTCGTCATGGCTGGGTATCATAGATTCGACATCTCTCCCCGCATCAGTGGGGAAAGTTTGTTGCATTAAAAAATCAGTTTCAGGGTCTGGGTACCCTGGGTTGGCGACTTGGTCATTCATCGACGCATCGTTGGTGGTATTCGCCTCGTGGTGAAGAGGCGTGATATCGGAGTCAAACTCAAGGCCGTAGATGCCAAGCGCGTTGCCACCGGGGCCATACTGGTCCGCGAGGAGAGCACGCTGCATGAAAAGCCCTTGGATCTCGTCCTCGGAGCAACTATGCTTGGCAGACATGTGTACCCATAGATCATAGTCACGGTGGAATCGATGCTCGCACGAATCGTCAAAACAGGTAATGTGTCGCCCCGTTTCTTGCGCATATCCATGGCCTGTGAGAGCGGCCAGTGTGGAAATTCCGGAAGGCTGTTGTGGCTTCGGATTGCTCAGTCCAAGGCGTTGGCGTCGCTCGGCCTTGGCATTCTGATATCCAAGGTGGGCTGTGCGGATATGTTCTTCCAGCGCAAGCTTGCTGCCGTATCGCTTTCCACAACCAACGCCATCCCAGCCAGCGACCTTCTTGGAAGTAGAAAGGTCAACCTCCCCGCAGCCAAATCGCTTCTCTCCTTGATGAACAGTGCGAATGTGCACAGTCAGATTGCCCTTCTTGGTGAAGCTGCGGTCACAGTCTTTCTCTGTGCAGATAAAGACCTTTCTCTCATCCAGACTAACATCACCGTGTGCTACTTCCAAATGACGCCGTAGTTCTCGCGATGTCGAACAGACAATCGGGCATTTAGGGCATTTTGGCGGGTGAACTGTTCGGATATGCTCTTGTAGAGTAGCGTATGTAGGAAACGTGACGGGGTGCTCGGTAGAAGTCTCGTGGTCGCCGTTGGCCATCGTCTCCTCCTGTTTCTGAGAGCATTCGGCGCAGCTGAACCGCTTCTCGGTGTGAACCCTGCTTTCGTGGGCTCGGAGATGACCAGCTGTATCGAAAGCCATTTGGCATTTATGCCCAGTCTTCGTATCCATGTGATTGCAGGGAAACGGCTTCTGATTCAGATGAACGCATGCAATGTGCTTCTGCAAGGTCGAGTGTTTTCGGAAGGTTTCTTCGCATGGGGGGTATTCAGTGCAGCGGTATTTGTCTCGACCGTCATGCGCGGCAATGTGACGGCGAAGTCGTGAGCCCGTAACAAAGCTCTTTCCACATCCAGGGCGGTCGCAGACATAGTCCCGAACTCCAGTATGAGCACTCTTAACATGATGAGTGAGATGCGATGCACGTAAGAAGGTCTTGTCGCAGCCCGTGGTGGTACATTGAAATAGACGCTCGTTGTTGTGCGATCGGATATGCTCCTGTAGTCGCGCCGGGCGATTGAATGCCTTGGTACATTCCTCGAATGGACAGTAGTGGGTTTTTAATTCGGACGGATAACGAGTGGAGGTAGTAGAGAATGGTGTGGCCGGGGTTTCGTTCAGATCATCACTGATCAGACTTGGCGTCCCTGGCGCTGAGTATTCGGCATCTGAATGGACTTCTTGGTAGATGGGGTCTGTTAAATTATCAGCAGTGTCCCATCACTTGGAGGTCTCCAATCTCGAACTCCCTCTCGAGCTATCGATAAACTCCGGATCGGTGGCTTACCCTCAATGTCCAAAGCGGCGTGCTGCTGTCGTTTGTATGGTGGTGAATCCCCTTCTAAGGAGGTCTTCCGCTTTAGAGCCATGATTCAATGTCCCATGGGGACCACAGCAATGTAGCAGTGAGCATGTCAGAAAAAAAGTATCACCACTGATGGAATAAATCCATTTTGCCGGGGCGCAAAAGGCGGTGGGGCCGAAGGCGGACTAGCGTAGATTTTGGGTGGGAGGAAGATTTTCCGCTGCGGCCAGGCTTTTTGTGTTTCGCGATTCCTCGTCAGTTCAGTTCCGCGCTCGGGTTTCTCTCTCCCTGATCCCTCGGACAACATTCTTTGGTATCCATCATGTCTGACTACGGCGGCGACGACCACGAGGAAAAGTAAGAATCTCCCCCTTGTGATGACATGCGACCCTGGCGCAAAGATCTGCTAGAGGAACCGAATCTAGCTCTAGAGCTCTGCACCAAAAAAAGACGAATCGCCCTGCTAACTTGCGGTCTTTCCCCCAGCTTCGACTACGAACCTGTCGAGGAGGTTTTCGAAGAAAATGAGCCCGGTGACTTGGTCGATCAAGATGACTACGAAGGACATGACGGAGAACTCCCTGAGGAGCACGGCATCAACGGCGAGAATGTCGTTGTATCAGGCGATCCCAATTCCGGTTACTCAGGCAAGGTCATGGAACAGACGCGCGAGATGAAAATTCCCAATGACCAGCGCACCACCACCCCGTACTTGACCAAGTACGAGCGTGCGCGTGTTCTCGGTACCCGAGCTCTGCAGATCAGGTGCGTTCAATTTCGATCCTGATACGATGCGAACAATGGAATTGGGAAATTAGGAAATTGGCCACATTTTGGAGCAAAGACGACTGACACTATTTCTCGCCTTTAGTATGAACGCTCCCGTGCTCGTTGACCTCGAGGGTGAAACCGACCCTCTTCAGATCGCGATGAAGGAATTGAACCAGAAGAAGATCCCTCTCATTATCAGACGGTATCTGCCGGATGGAAAGTATGATTATGATTTGCTTGCAACTATCTACAATTGATCTAACCGATGCATCTTATAGGTATGAGGACTGGACTTGCGAGGAGCTTCTATAATGGGCACATCGGCCCTCCTCTGCTTTGAACTGGGGTATCTTTCTCTGGGTGGATTCAGCATAGCGTTCGGAGTTTGGGAGTCTAGAAACCGTGGCTCAGGAAACAAAAATAAAGGCAATGACCTTGAACCATGGCAACGAACTGTACATGAATTTAGAAAGACCAAAAAAATCTAATAACGGTTTCTACAGTAGCTATTTCTACAGTAGCTATTTCTACAGTAGTTGAAAGACATTCTGTTATTAAAATAGAACCACGACTTTGGAAAAGTGAGCGTTAGCTGTCACTCGAGACAAAAAAGCAAATGCGGCTTGCAGCCGCATACCCGCATATGCATGTATTCGGGCTCCAGTACTACTATCAGTACAACATTCGAGCTACTTCTAGTACTTTCGCAGTCGCTGCTTTACTGTGGTTACCCTTCGGTTCATGCTAATTCATTTCAATGTGCTTTCCTGAAGGACATTTGGCCACTTAGTAGCTGCTAATGGTAGATCTCTCCCAAGTCTCTCTTGGTCTACATACATCGCCACGACGTCTTCGTAGAATCCATTCGTCGGCGATAAACAGCTCATCTAGATATATGTGCTTATATCTGCTTACAGTGACGTAACTGGTTTCACCGAGTACTAGCAGTCCTCGTGGCCTGTTGGAGGATCAAACTTGAACTTTCTTTCGTTTCAAAGTTATACTAGTACTTTACTTCAATATCCCAACGGGAGATATTATGAGATATCCTTCACGACTCCGAGTCCGCGCTTAATTTCATCTGTCGTAGTACTCCAGGTACTAGAAGCTTCCTCGCCTGAATTCATCTGCCTACGTACAGTGTCAATCAAATTGAATATTCTTCCTTCGGATATTGCAGAGGTATCAGCCTGCATTCCATGCTCTTTCTCTTCCATGGATTTCCCCAAATTGCCCAGGTGTCTTTTGAGTGCAGCAAAGCTTCAAGCTCGCTATGTGTTATTATGATTGTTCTATGAGGAATATGAGATTAGATTGATTAGACTGGTACTACTAGTAGATTTCCCATGTATAAGAAATCCAAATCGATCAAAATTTCGAGGAGTACCCAAGGTGATGTCCTCGGGGAGAAACCTTCAAAGCCCGAAGTCCCACTTTTAATTCCGATTCGCCCTCTAATCTCTGTGTGCAGAGCATACCCTGCAGGTACTAAGTGAAAACCGACAACTGCAACTGGGTCACACTGCACCTTTTGGCCCCTCACACCTGGGTAACCGGCACGGCTCTTGGCGATCTTCATTGGTCTTTTTATGTGAATATACCCCCGGTCTCCGATCAAGGCGCCCTAGCGCATCTTTAGCGACAGAATTGGGTAGATTTCTACCCCATGGTCCCCCATGGTCCAGGCAAGTGGATGCCGGTGGAACCAGAGGCGTTCCACTGGCCCTGCTTTTCGGCTTCGTCCGCCCTCGCGCTTGCTTAACTGCCCCGCTTGCCGTTGGTTTCTAATCATCCCCGAGGTTTCTTTTTTTTTTGCTCGCTCGCTCTCTTTTTTCTTCTTTCATTTATTTGGTGACCTAAACCTGGGAGATTTCACCATCCCAGCACCTGATATCTACCTTTCTCGCTTGACTATCTGATCTACTTTTGTTATTCGAACGGGGGCTTTGCTATTTGAGATTCCCTGCAGTATCTGTCTGTTCGAAACGAGCGCCAAGATCACAAAAGATGGGTCCGACTGATTCGGAAGTAGAGCAGACGGCCAACAACCACACTGTTACTAAAGATGAGGAAAATGTTGTTGCAGACACCACGAATCTGCCCCCCGACAAAGACCCCGAGGTGACGTTTGACACAGGCCTCCGGTCATGGCTTCAGGTTCTAGGTTCTTTCTTCCTCTTCTTCAATTCATGGTATGTACCTCCAATGAAATTCAGTTAGATGGCAAAAATACAAACGGGCTGACTTGTTTCTGATAGGGGTGTTATTAATACATGGGGTGCATATCAGACATATTACGAACAGGATCTATTGAGTGGCACTTCCTCATCAACCATAGCGTGGATTGGATCTCTCCAGTCTTTCCTTCTCATGATGATCGGTGTCGTAACCGGCCCTCTATTTGACGCGGGATATTTCCGTGGTCTCATTGGGTTTGCAGCTTTTATGCTGCCTTTTGGTTTGATGATGACCAGTATTTCCACTGCCTACTGGCATCTCATTCTCGCGCAAGGTGTCTGTGTTGGCCTTGCGGCTGGCTGCCTTTTTGTACCCTCGGTTGCCATTCTACCACAATACTTCCAACGCAAGAGAGGTCTTGCCAATGGTTTCGCTGCCAGTGGGAGCAGTATCGGCGGCGTGGTTTACCCCATTATGTTCCACAAGCTTCAGCAGGAAGTTGGCTTTGCCTGGGCCACTAGAGCTATTGGCTTCATCTGCTTCGGTACCATCATCCTCTCCCTCTCGATTATGCGTGTTCGTTTTAAGCCCAAGGAGAAGCGCAAGCTTTATCAATTCTCGGCTTTCAAGGAGCTTGGCTTCTGTCTATTCACTGTGGCCATGTTCCTCGGCTTCTTGGGGTTCTATAACTTCCTCTTCTACGTGCAATCTTACGCTATCGAGACCGGTATCGTTGATAGTAATCTGGGCTTCTACCTAATCTCGATGCTGAATGCAGCCTCCACCTTCGGCCGTATCGGCCCCAACTTCCTGGCTGACCACCTTGGCCCGCTCAACATGCTCACGCCTGCTGTGACTATCACATCGATTCTGGCATTTATATGGATTGGCGTTCATACCGTCCCAGGAATAATCATCTTGGCCGTCTTTTATGGCTTCTTCTCAGGGGGTTTCGTTTCTCTCCCGCCTGTGGTTATGGCCAGCATGACCCCCGATGTGCGCGACCTGGGAACACGCCTTGGAATGATGTTTGCCATCGTCTCTTTCGGTCTACTGATCGGAACCCCTATCGGTGGTGCTATCCTGACTGATACCAATAAATATTTGGGAGTACAGCTATTCACCGCTTGCTGCCTCGTCGCCTCGGCGGTACTCATGGCCGCGTTGAGATTCGTGCGCTCAGGTCCCCACCTAAAGGTAAAGACCTGAGACTTCGATGGCTTATGATCTTGATTCACGAATAAAGTTGAAATATCTATTCAGCGCAATGGTCATGTTCAGGAAGACATGAAACCAGATCCTTTTGCGAGTACGCCGGCAATCGCAGTGTTGCATAGTCTCATTCAAGAGACGGTCAATTTGAATTCGAGAATCCGAATAGACTCCATAGGAGCATCAGTACCTGAGATAACTCCTGGCGAGTTTGAACTTGTCCGGTGCTTCAGCTCGATGGGTCTTCATCGCATCGAGCTTATCTACCAACCAGCTGGTTGTATCAAACTTTCTGTTCCGGCACGGGGTTAAGGTAGTATTTTAATAAGTAATCATATCTGTCATCTCTATCTCTGGGTATGTAAGCGTATCCTGTACTAGTATGTAATCCCGAAACACCCCAGGCTGCTAGGTACAATTCCATATAAGGGAAAAAAAGACCCTTCAACTGTATACCTCAAAGATTTAGCCCTATCTTTCGTTCATATTTGAAATATGTGTATCCTTAGGACACATCCTCCGGGTTCACTAAGAAGTCTTCACCCTTGTCCCGCACATGCTCCAATTTCTTATCTCGGCTGCAAGGTTTCCGCATGTCGAATGCGTCTTCTCCCGATTCAGACATTCCCGTTGGATCATCGCTGTAATAATTGACCACTCGTCGGAATACCGAGTAACTAGTAGTCCGCATTAGCATTGAGATCAACTGATCAAGAAGCAAACTTGAAATTTGATGCGTTTGTCTTGGGGAGCAACTCACCCCATTCCTTTGTACATATCTACCGCAACCTTGTTACCCGCGCGCACATATAGATCAACAAACCAGGAGTCATTGATATCGGAACCACGCTCCAGCTGCTCTGTTAAACGGCTAGCGAAACCGAGTCGGCGCCAGTCAGGTGC